TTATAGATGAAAGATGTCCCTGTGACTATGTTACACGTGTAAGCGGAGAAGTTTAGAAGGGTGCGCCTAGATACTTAGTGCGATATGATGGACGATGGGTGTTAACTATTCCTGGTGTCATTGAAGATCTTTTAATAGTTTTATTTTCATGATTCTAAAGGGTGTGTGTAAGATTTGTCTACGACGTTTTTGGAATATATTATTAATTTAATTATTTCCCTTTTATCGAAGTAGAGAATTGTTCAATACACGGAAGCAAATTTGTATGGAATGACGTCTTTAAGGAATTGTGATCGATGCTCAATATCACTGCGACGCTTATTTACAATATATAATATGATGTAATTTGACATAGTATATTAGTGGAAACTATCTCACTGAACTCATACATGATAATAATAGGTAATGCGAACAACGTGTATGTGTCTAGATTTGTCAAATTTGTATCGTAAGTATTAATTCAGATATGGTTTAGATTAGACGTTTTCTAATAACTAAGGTGAATCTTAATATTTTATGCTGAGATTGATGGCTTGATTATAATTATACTTAATAAACCTGCCCTGCCTCTTCTGAATATTATCGTACACCCGACTCTACCACCATTTCAAGTACTGACCGAGGGCTGGAAGTATCCGAAATAATTAGTTTCACTGCACTTGCAATATTACTGTGCTATTCTTAAATAAATAAATGTAAAATAATATTAGTAATGATTTAAACAATAGCGTTACGTAATAATTTACTGTTCTATACCATATATAAAATATATAACAGACACTTAAATGCATAACATCGTGCTATGCTGATATAGATAGGTACTTAGATTCTACAGCTTGATAGTGAATAATATGAAATAAAGTGGACTTGATTTGTTTTTTTAATAAAATAACAAGAGAATTTGGAATATATTTGTACAAATGGTTCTCTCTCTGACCATAATATCTCGATGTTTTAATTACTCAAATAGTATTAGCTATGTTATGTGCTAGTGTAAAGACACTGTGGCAAGTAGATACTCGTTGGAATGACAAAAACGTATCGTTGCGCATACAGTCGTGGACGATGTGTCTTGAGATTTGTTACTATAAGGGACACAATGTCACAGAGTTGTTTTTGTTCAAACCTTATAGAGAATCATCGTAATGTCATCCCATCTACTTTTGATGAGTATCGGTTGAACGAAATGTCGAGAAAGAGCGATACGCTCGTAAATTTATGTACGCCGGTATAACATTGCGAGTAGAGCACGTGGGCGATCTGTGGAACGTTTGCGCGTTTGTGCAAATGTGTATATAGAATTCGTATGCCTATTGCGTCATCGAACAAATCATGTGGTCACATCGTAATGAACAATACTGTGTTTTTTTAATTAAATATAATATCAAAATCGTTTAGATTTCATAAAAAATGTACTTATTTTTTAATATTTTTTAATTTTTATATGAATAACTTGAGTGACTTATTGTATTATATATTTAAGACTGTCGACTAAGAATAAACATTTCTTATAAAAATATTTAGGAAAAAATAAAAAGATTGAATGTTTAAAATTCCTACAAATAACTTTATATTAGATCATATATTTTGAAAAGGTCATCGAGTATATTATATTTATATTTTTTTCAAAATTGTGGAATGTTTCAAGTGTCTACGATTCATAATATTATTAATTTCATATAATATAAGCTTATGAAGAATTTAGTATTAAATGTTTAAACCGTAAATGCAAAAGTAAAAAATTGCAAAATATACTCGCGACTTTAATAAATGTTGAAAACATTTTGTTTTTAAATAATAATAAAAAAAAATATGAACAGACATTTTTTTTAAATACTGCATTAACTAATGTAATTTAACATTTTTACTGAATTAAGTTGAAGAAATTATTTAGTTTTCCATTTAAAAGTCTATGATAAATAAATGTCCATTAAAAGTTGAGGTAAAAAAAAGATCTTGAATACTGAATAGTAATTGGATTAATATAGTTACCTATATGTAATTGTGCATAGCATATTATAACAAAATAATTATTAGAGCTTCTGAACTATTGAAATTCTAATTCTAATTAAATTTCTAAAATTATATTTATTTTATAAAAAATAATATAATATGGATCTAATTAAATACTTCTAAAGTCAAGTATGTAGATATAATAATATGGTTTATGAAAACTCTGTCATCATTATAACTTTAAATAATATGATATTGTCTTAATGCATCACCACGCCGTCTGTGTATCATGTAACACCGAGGACATTCACTTGGTATCTTTATTCAGCTAGAGTATCAGAAGAACAATAGAAAAAATAAATTATTTTTCACCAAAATAAATGAGTTCCGAATTCAAAAGTTCATTACGTATGTATATCGCGCTGGCCGATCAGCGTGTCCATGGCAACTGGTGTCAGTCCAAAAATAACAAAACGCAAAACGATATATTTTATATCCACAAAATTTACTCCATGCTGTTATTTATCGGGAAAAGACACTTAACCAACAAAACACCTACTACACAATGTGCACGGACAGTAAAAACATAAAAAAACTTACCAGGATCGAAACCAAAATGAAAAAAAGCAGACAGACACCGTCAAAAACCAAATTTTGTTGCGAAGGAGAAGACGATCAGGCTTCGGACTTTGAATGTAACAATAAGATCAATGGATTGCGGACGGCCCGTTCATCTTGCGCCGACGAAATTTTGATGAAAACTCTGATCGCCAAGTATGCCCAGCGGCTGATGGATAAACTGGCAAAGATATCGGTCAATGTTCCGGACGATAGCGAACACGTGGACAAAATTGCGCAGCTGTGCAAAAAGGCTCAGCGGTTAATCAAGGATCTGAATAAGGTGGACGGGCCATGCGACTCATCGAATGTACTGCTGAACAAGTATGACTGCCTTCGCTTGGAATACTACAAAGTACGTGACGGGATCAAAGGGATGAGAAGGCAGCGGTGTGGTAAGGGGGTCGTGTCACCGGCCCCCAGGCGTTTGGAAAACAGCAAAATTTGCCATAAAATCGAAAAATGCAAGAGTATAGAAAACCGCAAGAAACCCGAAGACCAAAAAAAAACACCCCAAAACTGTGAAAATTTCGACAAAAATAGTAACCAAGATATCTGCGGGGATTGCGGGAAGCGCAAGAAGCTCTGCGGTATGAAGTGGGATACAAGACAGCGTGCTGATAGAGCAAATTGTCAGAAGGAACCATTTGAATGGAAGTTGTTCCTCAAGCACCGACTTTTAGTTTATTTTCCGTGCCTATGTTGTATATTCCAAAAGCCTGACTGAACCTCATGTGTGGTTGAATACCATTTGGGTGTAGATAAGGTACCAGTGGGGTGATTTTTATCCCGGTGGGATTCGATGGAATGACTGCAAACGATCCAAAATTAAGTACTCCTAAGCGACATCCGATTGTCACATTTGGATACGTATCTCTTTAACATATAATATTTACATAAAAATATAGGTACAGTTATTTTTCATACAAAACTATGGAGTTATTATTTTTTTTTACACTAATCACTATAATTGTGACAGCAAACGGATTGCGAAAATGTCCTGTTACGCAGAGTGTTCAAAGAGCTTGGAAACGGTCATTACGCAAATAAGAACTGGTAAACGATCATAAGATTTAATTAATGAGGTGATTAAATATTTTACCCAATGAATGTGCATCAGTGTTATCTGTTATTACAATACGTACATATAAAAACATGCAAACAGTAATTTAAGCGCTTCCGAATTTTTTGAACACTAGGTATATTCAGACGAGGTAGTAAAGTTAAAAATGTATTTTAAAAATGTAATGAATCTTAAATATAGGATGACAATTCATTCCAAGTTCTGTTTAAAATTTACTTAGTCCCTTTAGTATTGTTCTCGCACTGTTGAGGTCTGGTAGGTCTGGTAGGTCGTACATTTATAGGAACCGGTTAAACACACTAATATGATGTATATAATTCAGATTAATGCAATTCGTTTTTAACGCGTTTACCTGGATCATCAAGAAATATAGTGCAATAAGGCTTTGACAGGCACATGCGATGAAATCTAATAAAATAGCTTTGCAATATAGAAAACATTTCACTAAATTTTATGGTCTTTTTTAGCTAAAAGTTAAGCCAAATTGGTCATCCCCCATTGCAACATTTTTTTCACTTTAAAGGACACATTCAATATTTTTTAATGTCCACATAAAAATGAGTTAACAAAAGCATTTATACACTTTAAAATTCTGACCTTTCCATTGTTTCTATAGTCGATAAAATCTGTATGAGTGGTTATTATGTTATGTATTCAGGATTCCGTCTAGACGTATTCTAGTTATAAATAATGTTGTTCAATTATTTGAGTTGAATTTTTATATAGTATTTTAGATTGAATCTCGTTATTCTGGTGAATAAAAAAAAATACTGTATACAATCTGCTCATGAATTTAATAAGTATTTAATATTTACAATAGTGTATAAAAAAGTATTTTTAGTATACATATGTTGAACATTTATTTCACATTTGATCATAAATACAATTTGGAAAACAAAATTTCTATCTACAACAATCAACTTTTTTTTCCACACCTAAATTATATTTATAATTTTTATACTACATTACTTACGTAAAAAATACTGTACAATTATAAAATAACTTCTATAAATATATAAAAATTCAATTTTAATGTTATAATATTAAAGTCTTAGTATTTGTACATTTTTATTTTATTTAAATATATTTTACATTCTTATATCTGGTAAAATAAATTATTTTAAATATAAATAAATATTTATGGTATCACAGTAAAATAATCTAAATAGATTTTTAAATTATTACATAGAAATTTTGAAGAAAATAAATCAAAATTGAATACGCTATATACATATATATATATTATGATTCCGATGTAGATAAATACATTTTTACAATTTGATTTTTAAGGACTACCAAAATATAACGTTGCCATAATTATATTTATAAAATGGTTTTTTTTCAGATATCATTTTTTTACCACAAATATGGTTCACATAGTGGTACTTTGGGACTGTATTTGGTCGAAGCCCATGGTGAGGTAGACCGTGTGAGAAGATTATGGTGGAGTTTCGGGACATATGGGAATACATGGCTTCGAACCGTTGTTTATTTAGTAAACATCACAACCAGGTAAGTTGTTTTACACTATGACAGATCACTATTGTTGTTTGTTGATAAAACTAAATCCTATAAGAATCCATCTCAATATTATGTTGAAATATTTTTGAACAAGTATTGTTAGTCTTTTTTGAAAAAAATGTCTTTGTTTCAAATCGTAACTGTTTGAAATTGTGCTGTGAAATCGACAAACAAAAGAATCGGCTAACGGGGTAACCTTCACAACAACTGCCCATATTTACAAACAAATACAGTCAAATTTCAGTAACTTGAATAAAATATAAAATCCCCTTCAAACAACAATAACATTTAAAGATTTTGATAACACGAAATTTTTAGTTAGTCAGTTCTAAGATCTAAAATCTAAAATTTTATAATATAAGATCATTTGATGTAGGTAGTAGGTAAAATGAATTACTAATTAGTACAAACAGCAAAAAACATAATAATTTTATCAAATCGAAATGCACACTATTAATATTGTACAGATGTGCACTCATTCACAAGATGCAATGAAAATAAAAATAAATGTTTTGAAAATCATAAATGTTTTTTTCATATATATTTTTCGCTGATATTTGTTTAGTTACTTGTTTTATAACAATAATATTTGTTTATTTATTCATAAAGAGGTAACGATTTCATAGATTCACAAAAATTAGGTAAAAAGTATTATCTTTACATAACTCCTATGCTTGAATGGATAGGCTATTGTCACTACTATGTTTCCGAATATATAGTTGATTGATACGTAAGCTGGTGTTTGTTTATTTTCTTTTTACTATGGTATACTAACATCAAATAAAAATAAAAAAATAAACTTGGAAAGTGGGTTCGTAAAAATAATAATATATTCGTAATTGAATGAATGCCATCAATTTCGTATTGGAACGCTTAGGATTTTATATTTTTAAGATCAATTATTATTTGTGTCTGTTCCCAATATGTCACTAACTTTTCCATATTTCAAAAGAAAAGCCAATATACTTAAATATCATACCTCTTATACTACTGTTATTCACATCACCCATTGGCCATTCGTTGATATGGAAAAAGAAGTATGTCGTAAACGTATATTTAGTGTTTTGTGAAACTTATAAGCTTGGAGATGGCATTTTTTTGAATGGAAAATTGTATAAATACGACACAAGCTCGAAAATAATGATACTATTATTATTCGTTGAGCCATCAATAATATGATATATAATATAATATTTATATTTTATTATGCACCGACCTGAATTTATTGTAAGAAATTTCAATATTTTTGGTACCAGTAACTAAACGAATATCTTATAAGCATAGTGAATATACTTTACCCACCACACATCAATATTATTGGTGACTTACTAAGGTCTATGAACAATATCAGATAGATTCTGTAGAATATGAAATAATTAGGAATATAAGTATGGTAACACGGCGTTATAGATAGGCAATTTGGGTACATCACTGCATTGAGGAAATTTCTCGGTTTCAAGCAGCAATATTAATAAAGTATAATTGGCCTAAATTATTGTCAAATCAAAAATACATTATTGCACCTTGATTAAATAAATAATTACTCTACAAATTGAAAATTTTTCACTTAGGTGTATGCTTGTCAAAAATTCTAGTCAAAGACATGTTCTTTATAGTTGTGACCTTATTATAGATTATTTTTAATCCATAATGTGAAATTAGTATTATAAGTTTATTCTTAATACCTCTCATTATGTGAGGTTCAGTGAGGTTAAAAACTGTGAAAATTTGCTGTGATTAGTACCACACCTATCAAACAATCATATTTCAAACACTTCATATCTAGCTCTATATAAAAATATATCCATAAGTTATAAAGTTATTAAGAGCCAATCAATTAGCTATAAAATTGAATCTCATGATATTTAAATAAAATATGATATTAAATGAAAAGCAGGCGCAGTACCTTAAAATAACTTGGCAAAATATATTGCATTGTTTTAGGTAAATTATACGTACAATATTATTTGTAATGATAACAACATTTTGATGGGTTTTAATATTGTAAACGAATTTTGAAATATTTAATAATTATTCATGGAATAAGATTTAAGTTATATATATTTTCTAAAAAAACTTGATTTATATTGTGTGTTTGGTTGACATCAACTACAAGCGTTATTTTTCTATATTGATTACTATTATTGTATATCTTCAGGGCAAAATAATAATCTGTAAAACAAATGAACTCACAGTTTAACGTTGGAGCAATGGAATTGTTTTATTTGCAGATTGTTTGTTCATGTCCTCAAACAGGGTTTGAAACTACTATAGTAATGTTTAATGTATCATTATATTTAAAAAAATCTCTTAATGCTTGTCTTGATAAAAATAAATAAAAAATTATTTAACAATGTATTTGTTTCGTGATAATTCCTACGAGCTACTACTACATATGGTTGTAAATACTTATAATATAAGACAGGTCAATATCTACCATCTTTCAGTTTAATACCTTTAACGGTGTGTTGTACGTCATAAAAATTGTATTATTTTTTATTATTTTATTATATAAATGCCATTATACAGAGCTATATATAATAATATAATATAATAGGTAATATTACAGTACTACAAGAAGTATTCATATCATAACAATAATAATATAGACAGACAATGACACTGTTGGAATGTATTACATCTTATCCAGAAGGAATATGATATTACCAGTCAAAGGATAAAATATGTTTAATTTATTATAGTGTGAAAAAATGTAGAGTTCTGAAGATTTTTATTTACTACATCACCAGTTTCATTTTACAATAACCTTTAACCTGTTTAGTATATTAGCTTGTACCTATAAGATATTATAACAATATAATATTCAAATACATCAACTTCCTATTATTTAACTGTTAAGAGTGCAAAGGTCAAGGGTGGAATTTTCCACATGGCTGCGCCCTCATTTTAATTAATAATTGTTATTTTTAACAACTGTTAATACAAAAAGTTGATGATTTGGCAATTTCAAAATAATCACAAAGTTGTCTGAAGAATATTTTTAACTGAAATTGCTATGCCAGCGATGCGTGATTCGACATTCTTAGTTTGATAGTAACTTGAGAGTTGAGAATGGATAATGGGCTTCAATCAATATATTCTGCAATTTATTGTTGGTAATACTGACGTTTCATGAAGTCTGACAGGTACTAAGATATTTTTATCTACATAATGGATAGGTTAAAATAAGAGTAGTTTTGGTGTAGTCAGGAAAAAAATTTCGGAGTGGATGGTTCTATAAATTGTTTTCACAGTATACACTACTGAACCACCTCTTTTGGTATCTTGAGTCCACCCCACATTATCTCACCCATTTTGAGCTGGATGAAAAAAGCATTTGCAAATAATTGCACTGGCCACAATAAGGAATAAAAAACCAAAAAATATAAAGTCTGCTAATGTAGGTTCCTGTTTCCTATTTTCCGAAACCAAACATCATTTTACGGTTTGTGATATGCATGGGCGTAGGTAGGAAATATTTTCGGGGGGGGGGGGGGTTGTCTAAATCCTAAATAGTATGCGAGTTAATAATATTCTCGAACAAATTCACAAAAAGCTCAAGATTGTTTTATTTAATTTCGAGGGGTGTTTGAACACCCAACCCCCCACTCCCTTACCTACGCCCATGGTGATATGGGCTTGTATTTATATATACTATATATATATATTTATAAATTTACTTCTGATCATTGTAATAGCGATTTATTCATAAGGGTTATTTATTTTTAAATCAGTTATTGAATTTCTTACAACTATAACGAATTTATTTATAATGCACACACACACACACACACACACACGCACACATAATGAAATATATATTATACAACCCTTCATCTTCCAAACATCGGAACGTCGAACTACCTAGGTACTGAGTCGGTGTATAGAATTTCAATTTGAAGGGTTTTCCTTTAACGAATGACAATTTATTTTTACTGTCATTCGGTAAGTAATTCTGTACAAAACATAAGCGAATGGTCGTGCATTGTTTTGGGGCTGTTAATAAAATCGAGAAAATATCTTTTCAACTTCTCAAATGTGTTTGTATGTCGAATATCTGCAGATATTCAATACCTATGGTATTCATTTCTTTTCCACCCAATGCAATCTTTATTGAATCGTTGCAGTAGGCACTTCAATAATTGACTTGTCATATTCACATATTCAAATAGTCGTAGCCATTTTACACCAATAATAAGATAAAGTTTCCCTCCACTTTTCATTTTCTACAAATTATGAGGACTTAAGGATACAATCAAAATATTTTTAAGTCATATCAATGTATTGTTTAACAAAAAAAAAAAAATTAAAAATTTCCAGTGAACTATTAACGGTTATATATATTTTTTTTTGTCATATTATTACGTCCTACACAAACAAAATTCATTTAAGGTCCTATTATACCAACCGAAAAAAAAATAAAAATAACATTACCTTTGGATTATTAAAAATTATAAATTAAATACGTACGGATCTTATATATTATTAAGTTTTACCAGAGTGAGGATACGATGTTATCAGCAGTTACTTTCTGTTTAAAGTACGATACACAAACATTACATCACTTCTGCTGGCAATAATATTTAAACATTTGGAGAAAACTGGTCATAATTTCAGTAAAAAAAAAAAAAACATGAAAAAAGAATCTAGCTTTTGTTGTTGTTGAGAAAAACTTTATCTTATTTTTGGAGGAAAATTGATTACGTCCATTCTAAAACCTAACATTGTTTTATGCAAAACCTATGATTTCTTCGGCTATTCTTGCATTTAATTAGTATACGAGTATTAGATGGCCGATACAAAAACACCATTCCTAGTGTACCTATACCAGTGTGACTATACACCATATACATCATACCGTGTAGAACATGCAAGGTGTTATATTAAATTATTATTAATACATTATATTTTGCATTTTTTATAGCTCTAGCTTGTAGGTATAAAGTACCCATAGTAATTCATCAGTGGTGACCAACGCTTATACGTTCACCAAAAGCCGAAATGTATATTTCATTATACAAACTTACAATACGCTTTGTCTGTATACGTGCGTGGATTTATAAAATATTATGATAATAAGAGCGCACAATGGGGACTGCGTACACAAAAGGAGTATAAGTTTACTTGACTACCGACCCTTTGAAGATGTCCGATAAATATTTTACCGCCATGTATGGCATGGCCATTGTATACGATATATGTGTAGGCACACGGAGTGTTGAACTCGGCTTGAGAATAATAGACGAAGCGCTATAGCTGAACAACGAATGAATAATATCATACAATTCCATAATTATTAGATTATTTATAATTATTGATAGACGTGTTGTTAATTGTATTTAAGTAAAAGTGTTCGAAACCATTTTTTTTAACTGTGGCTTAGAACACGACTCGTAATTTATAATTTTAATGTATTACATTTATTATTGACGTTTTTTTTTATTTTTAGTTTTTTTAAACTTGAATCAACTTACGTTTCAAATGTTTCAATATTATGTGTTACAATAATCAAGTATATCTTCTACACTTCAAACTCAAATATTTAACTAAGCAATATAAATAATATGGATATCAACTTTTTTCAATACTTATTTGATTTCAACCATCGAATGACAACAGAAATATGTTAAAATGTATCGATATATATTGGCCAAAAATATACTTGAAATAGAGAACAAACACGTCTAACGAGTGAATTAAATTTCGAATATTTTATTATGTATCTTAAGTTTAATAAGATACACAATTATTCAATAATTAGGTTTGTAATACTAAACTGACTGAAACTAATTTGCTTATAATAAATATGTTTTTATTATCTAAATTCACTCCGCCTTTTAATAGGTGACCGTTTTAATTATTGTAACAAGACTCGGGATATTTTTTATTACCCTCCATCCATGACCCCGATTAATGATGATTATGAGAATGATTATGATGATAATAATTCTTGGACACTTTTCCATGGATGATTATGGTATAATAAAATATGTATGTCAAAGCTATAAAAAAAAAATTATCTTATAAAAAATACTGTTGTAACGTCATACACAATAGTAAATTATACAATACCGGGTAAAAACTTAGTTAATTTTACAACAATTGTTGTTGAAATCGCTAAAATTATTTCAGAGTACCCAAAATCCTGAACAATATCCAATCTTGATCACACGAATTCTTAAAAAAAAAATATGGTAAAATAAATTATTTACTTCCATAGCATGTCATTTAGAATTTGGAATGCAAAAATATTTTTTTTCATATTTATATTTAACATTTGAACTATATATCTATGCATAAATGTTTAACTTTAACAAGTGCCTACCCTAAAAGCACATCACTCAATACAAATATTATAATGTACACAATATTTGTGTTGGCTCAATTGATTGAGTTGATTACTTAATAAATACCCTTAAGACCCGATTCTATTCGGCCAATGGTTGCACTTGAAGGATCCGTGATTTGTGCGCCCCCTATTCACTCACACACCAACATTCATAGAACAAGCGATCCAAGAGAGAATTGCTTCATCCGAAATATTTAGTTAAAGTATTGTGTATATGTACCTATTGACGAACATGTTTTATAAAAAACAATAATTATATTATAGTTTTATCACAAAATAGAAATATAATTTTCTTAAATAATTATATAAGAACAGTCTGATCTTGTTTTTATTAAAATTAAATTAAAGTATGACATACGCGTGTATTACGGATTGAAAAAAAATATTTATGAATAATAACGTATAAGATTTTTTTATTGTTTATATTTTCTGTAACGTAGTATATAGTACGTCGTGTTTCTTATAATGTAAACAAAAATAACAATAAATCGAAAAGGTGTTATATTACAAACGTAAATTGATGTGTTGCATTTCGAATGTATACGTAAAAATTTTGGTCCGCTGTTATGAGTTTTATAGTTAGATGTATTCCAACTTACATCTAAATGAGCATGCTTGGGCCAATATGTTGATCGAAAACAGTACATATATTTTTCTGAATCGAATTATGTAAATAAATATGTGTAAGCATACAAAACAAAAAAAGATTATTATCTAGGTAAAAGTAGTTCTCAATACAATGTGTATGAATGTAAACATGTTTTTTAATTTTCCATACAGACTGAATATGAAAAATAATTTATCAACAAGGCGGGTGTATTGAGCTAAAAACTTACTTTAAAATATATTTTATTAATCATTTGTCTTAGTTATGAAAATGAAAAATTAATATTTATTAGAAAAAAATTAGAGCTTAGTTAGGCCATCACACAATATTGATAGCTATTACTGCACCCATATATCTATAATATAGACTACTCAATGTCTGAACTCATGCAATTTGAGATTAAACAATATACTTTTTTTATGAAAAATGTTTTTGTTTTACTGTCAAATATTTTAGGTTTTGATACTATGATAAGAACTAATACATGATAAATAATAAATACCTAATTATCTTCCTCCACAAAGGATGTTATGAACAAGTTGACACCTACTTAAATATGTTTACAAACACTGTACACATTGAAAAAAAAACCATATTTTATGAACACACAAATTAAGTACTTTGATTTTTTCAGCTATTATTTACAGTTTGAAGCTCGGAAACTACTGTCGGTAAAAGGAGATGTGGCGATTGACGATATAGCTATGAGTCCAAAATGTTTCGGTTTAGGTAAGAACGAAGAATAATAAAATATTTTATTTTCCAAAAGAACTTTGAAATCACTGTGCAAGGTTTCTATTTTCAGCTTATTAAATTATTTGAATTATACAATATAATATATATATATACATATATATATTATATATATGTATATATATACATGCAACGTATAAATTTATTGTTATTCAACAGCAATATTTTAGTTCAAAGTAAACTACCACAAATACATAAGATTACTGCAAATAAAAATATAAATATAAATTATACTATTATATTCATTTTTAATGTTATGCTCTTATATATTCTATTATTTATCGGATGCCCGAAGTCTATTTGATTTCGTTGATGGTATATAATTATATGAATAAATATCACTTGTAGTTTAAAATCAATTATTTAACGCCTTTTGAATACATAATATACAATTATAAATTAATATAAATTTAAACCAGCTTTAAAATTCAATTTATTACATTGAGAACACTTGAACCAACAAGAATAATTTATGTGGGCAAAACATTTTTTAGTATTCCATTTTTTTTTCTGCAGTTGGTGTTTAATTAAACTAGATAAATTCTGCAAATTACGATTGTTTGACATTTTGTAAGATTACATTTTTCCATATCATTTTCAGATGTACCAGAAGACGTACTCAAGGGATACAAGTATGAAGCTGCTGGAACAGTAAATAATACGGGTTCGTGATTAAAGTTTTTAATATTTTAGAATGAATGAGTTAAGAAAATACCTTAATAAATATCATACTCTTAGGATAAACTAACAACAAGAATACTAATAATGAAACTTGTTAAATTATAGAATTTATTAGTGTACACGCAAATCTAAAAATAATTATTTTATTTCATGAAATAAACGAAATATAGATTAATTATACAAATTATAAAAAAGTATCTAAAAAATAAATAAAACATGTCATAATAATACAGAATTCAAACGTAATATATTTATTTGTAATAAAAATTTTAAATTTACAAGTTATTAGATAATGAGCCATTTTCAAGTGTGTCGTAATATTTGAGTTACCGTTCTTGACGCATTGTCCACAAAAATTATTTTTGAAATAAAAACATTTATGACATTTTTAAAATTATATATTACTAAAGTGTATTACGTATTTTCAAGATTAAAATAACAGTATTTAAATATTTTTATTATGTGTGTCTAATTGAAATAGGGTAAAATGTCGTTATTTTTTTCTAAATTATTTTTTTTTTTGTTATTAACATAGTTTAAAGAAAGAGTTCATGTGAAATATTTGTCTTAATTTTGAATGAAAAAAATAATAAATAATTCATAGTAGTTTAGTCTTATAGGTGGGTAGGTACTTATACATCGTTAATGCATTGGACTTTTATTAACAGCTTAAAAATAGTCAAGAGTTAATAATTTATGATTTTTTTTTCCAAAAATGTTTAATAAAATATATAATCAATAAACCAACTTGAATCAGAATACATTCGATTCTTGAAAATACTGTGTCTACGTATTGCTGGTTAATTTTCTATTTTAATTATTATATACCACTGATTTATTTAAAATGCTTACACTTATAATATAATATTATTGAAATTTCAACAAAAAAAAAAAAACAGCAAATGTATTTTTTAAGAATAATATTACAACGATACTATAGGTACCTGAATTGACAATAATATAATGATATCGCATGCAATTTTATTGTTTCAGCAACACTCATGAAGATTCCCATCAATCCGGATTTCAGGAACAAAATCGGTACGTGAGATCATGCCATTAATTGTAGTTGAATTATAAACAATTAATATGGGTATTTAGACACGGGTCTCGTCTCCACGCCATCGTCACACAATATAAAAACACAATTTAAACTTTTTCGCATGCGTCCACCACATGTTCACTCACCACCATACAAGAGGGCTTTGTTTTAACAATATTGTACATCGCAAAAATGTAGAATATAAAATATAATTTTATTCATTCCGATCATCTATCATAACATGGTCTTGTCGACCATTTATCTCTATTCAGCGACGCACAATATATTATTATAATGATGCGTACACCGCACGCGTCTCCTACCATTTAAAAATAATCGTTCTCTTTCGGTTTTTGTTTTGGAGAAAAACACTGGTGTGTTGAAAAATAAACCTTATTAGGGTACGGGAATTCGGTTTTAGGATAAAAAGAAGGTAAAAATCACGCTTTACATCCACGAGCGCGGGTAGAACACCTAAATTGTGTAAAATCTACATAACTATTATAAGAATATATTATATTACCTATACACAGGGTATTTCACCAAACTCACTCATTACTCATCCATTTTTTTTCTTAAAATGATAGTTCCATATTTTATTTCAATTCCGATTTTTATTTTTAAATTTTGTTTTTTTTATTTTTAGAACCATAATATTTTGAAATACCTACTCATAGATATTTGGATTTTACAAATAATTTAAATAGTAACAGGATTGTGGCGATACTAACTCACATTTTTTTTTCAAACGAGGTACCTCAACATTTTATTTATTGCTTTGAACGCCGTTAAGATAATGGTTTTTTGGATGATTTCGATTTATTACCTATTTATTACATTCGTCAAATTTTGAACGAGTACCTAGTTTCTGAGTTGTTAAACTATGTGTACTAAAGGATAATAGTCGGCAAAAATGGTTTTTCATCAAATATAGAGTGTATGTAATATTTATTAAAGTCTATTACTAACCTAACTATTATTTACTCACTCAAATTATAAAATGTCGGTAAATTAAAATAAATTACTATCATTTTCCAAATCTCGTAACAGTCATCAATCATCACCGATCTATTGTCCTTAATAGTATTATAATTACAGGTCCGAATTTACGTTTAGACACGTTTAAATTTTCAAAATAATTATTCGCTTAATAATTATAATTGATTCTTATAAAAAAACCATAGTTTTTATCAGCATAGGACACTCCCTAAATTAAATGATATAGAAAATCTAAGTGTTTAAAAATATAGTCTTTGAGAAGACTTAAAAATTCCAAAAATCTGAATGTGAATGAATGCATTATTAAGGATAAAATGAGGCTGGTAATGCTTGGTGAATCATTCCGTATATACACCCTCATATATATATATACACACATATACAGATTTGTATACCTATATATATATATATATATAGCGACGATTAAAATAATAGTAATAATGAAAAAAAAAATGGTATTTTTGTGTAAGGAGGGTTTTTTCATTTGTTCGAAAACACAATACAATGGCTTTTTATTCATATTTTTATATTTTATGTACACAGCAGTTTATAGATATACGAACATTATATTATTATCATTGTAAATTCGGTCAGTTGAAAATTTATACTTTTTGTCTCGTCTCGTTTTATTAAGGAATTCTTATTAAAATTATAAAAACTTTATCGTCGTCAGCTCAAAACTGCTGTATTGATTGAAGTTTAGAATAATAACCATAAATCACAATATGAGTATACGATTGCCATAACGGATAATATCTGAAAATAAAATATCTGAACATGTTACACTTGCGGTTGGCTTGGAATCGTATTGATCTGTCCAAAATCCAACGTAAAATACAGTGTGCTGAAGTGGCACCACAGCTCAGTTTAATAAATAACCACATATTTTTTGCAATATAATTTTTGATTCAACTCAGTTGACTTCAGTTGTATTTATTATAGGATTTTTACAATTATTTTGAGAACCTCATAAAAAATGTGTATTCTCATAGATGTGTTGAACAATTGTTTTTTTTGAGATAATAATATTATAAATATTGTTTTCTCTATCAACTCAATCATCAACATCATCATAGATAAACGTATACTGTGCAGCACGGAGACTTAGCCAAGGGGGGAAATGGTGGCGTGTCCCACTTAGATCTAAAATGCCTCCCCCCCTAGTTAGATATCTAATTTTTGGGGTTTCTCCGTATGGCTACGTGGCAACTATTCTTCCCTTATAACGACGATTGCCTTACGAATACGACGGAGCATTAGAACATACGCCATCTAAAATAATATTGTTTATTGTTTAATGTCGTCGCCTACACGCGGTTACGTTATTTATTCGAAATTACTCTGTGGGAGTTCTATTACACAATATGGTACCTATTCGATACGAAACGAATGTCGAACAATACGAAATAGTTCGACTGTGAACGAGTTACAAAATATTGCCATGGTTTCGGAGTCTATCAGAAAATATAGTCGTGAGCCAACTTCAAGCACGTGTTGTTAATTTATGAAATATTTTGTAATAGGTTTTTTATTATCTACTCGTAGTTGCCGTACATCCTTTTTCAATCAAATTACTTTCGGAACTTGTTGTATCAATTCTTAAATATTATAATTCAAATAAGTGAAATACCATCAAGTGGGGAATAAAAATAAAAAGTCCACTAGGGTTTTAGGGGTAGAGCCCCCTAGGGTGCAATATTTAAACTGTGATCAGTTGAGTCAATAGTTTTATACAATTTGGGTGAATGAAATATATGAATAGGCTTACATTGGAAAATGTAATTACTTTATTAAAGTGCTGTACGTTAATACTTTGTTATATCTATGTCAATTGAAAATATAAAATCACATAGTACAATATATTATTCTATTAATTAATAATAAGTTAATAATGGACTTTAAGCTTAAAATAGATGTCGGTATAGTAATTGTTATAATATTTTTCGGTCGAAAATAAACAAAATAAAATCACATGAGCATCAAAGCGCATAATATCTCTCATGTGGGTAGGTAAAAATAATTTCACACGCCCAAAACGGACTATTGATTTTTTGTTCGAAATTATTATTCTCGCCATACAACGACCACTACCCAAGCCACCATTAAATTACAAAATATTTTCTTAGGATATGAATGATATAGGCTGTGGACATTTGACGTACCTATGGTATAATAAGCAATGATTTGTGATCGAATTCAAATGTGCCATATTTGTAATGTAATCGATGACATTGACGGTGTACACTCCACATTTACGACATAGAGTTGGGAAGGGGTTTTCGGATTGGTTTCCTTACACTGTTCGATCAATGAAACTAGAATTTTATATAGTTATGGTCGCCCTTGCGAGCTTATAAATTCTATGTAGGTATGAATCCGGGAATCGCAGTTAAAAGTTTAGGCGTACGTATGGGTTATGAGGCAGCGTATGGTTAGCTCGAACAGTTTAGTACGCAATAACAATATGACATCATTACATTGATATAATGTATTTTACGGTGCTGCGATAATAATATCACAACTGAAGTAGATGCAGCCCTCTCTGGCATGATAAAATAATATAATATAAAATATATGTAAATCATTTCACAGTTTTGAAATGTTTTCCGATTAATGGCGCTCTTACCGATCTACATAATATATTTGTTTATACTATAAAAATGGCTGACAAGTGCCGACATCCAAAGAACTCGTTTTTGCCAGTTATTGGCACCTAAATCGCTCCATTACGACATCGTATTGTGAACAATCAAATGGACAGTATTATACCACAAATATTGATGGTAACAAAGTACCAGTGTAATTCATAGTACTATAGTTGAAATAAAAACATATCTTAAATTCATAACCTAACAAAAATGTGTACAAACAACAAAGGCACTCGGTGCCAATAACTAAAATATCAGTGCTCTAGTAGTAGTATTTAATAACCAATATGATTTGTGATCGAATCCAAATTTGACACATCCGTAATGGTAAATCGATATCAATGACACTCGACACTTGTGCTATGCGGTTGAGGAGGACCGGGTTCCTGGTTAACTTACTGTTCAATCAAATCAATTATCATTCTTGAGAGTTTTAACGGATTCGAAATACGAAAGTGTTCATGACCAGACGTATAAGACGAATGATATATTGTGTTGGCAAAAAAGTGTCTTCTCGCACGTCACCGTATTATACGTATATAGGTAATAACAATATCATGACATCATTACGTTCTTATAATACATTAATATTTTACGGTGTTGGGATAACAACAACAACAACAATAATGAAAATATTACAACTGGAGTAGTTGAGGCAGGCCGCCGCGTCTCGTGATGAAATAATATTGTGTAAGACATATTATAATACCATAACGAATTTCACTCGAAAATGTCGTCGTTTAATGGCGTGCTCGCGCTCCTGTATAATATGATATTTATTTATGACAATATTATAAGGGCAACGTCGTTTCCGATACTCACGAACATGAACAATTATTATTATTCTGCTTTACGAGTAACCCGGACGACTTTCATTGGCATAATCCAGAGATTATTAAGAGATGGCGATACAGCATATAATATTATTATTATTATTAGTGCACACACTCGCGCACACATGCACACGCTCGCTCACTCACTCACTCTCGCCCACACACGCGCACCGCTCGATATGGATTGAAAACACGCTGTCGGTCGAAACCGACAAATAACGGCGGCGGTGGAAATTTACCGGAAATGTATGCACAACGAGACGTATCCGGTGTAATTCCGCGTATTAAATCATTCATAATGATTATTAATAAACTCGCGTCGTCGTGTCGATAATGTCTGGGCTTTTAAAGTTTCGACCTTTGGCCTCGCGGCGGCGGCAAACCGTTTTGATATCTATACTGTATTATTTCCGAGAGCGGTCGGTGGAAATGTAAACGGCGATCTCCATTTTCTTCTTTCTTTCCCCCTTTCTCGTAATTGAATTTCGTTCAATTTCAAATGAAAATAAATACAAACTCTGTGTGTGTTCCTGGAACGGTGAAACGCACCTACCCAATTTACTAAAAAAAAAAATACGTCGCCGACGTTTTTCGAAAGTGTTTATATTATTATTTTATTATTTTTTTTTTTTGTTGTTGTTGTTGTTGATATTATTGTTATTTATTTTATAACAAACAACTTTATGATACTTACACATCATTATACGAGATATTCATTTAAATGAATAATGCATAAACGCATTGTTTCGAAAACTTGTAACTTTGTAACTTTTTACAATATTTTATTACGATGTCATTTCAAAACTATAACGGAAATATTTTACAGATTTGAGTGGACATTTAAATAGATCACATAATTAAATGACAAAATACCTATATTTTTGAATTATTATATCATATTCATTTTTATTCTGGATGCACGCTGTTAATTTCGGTCCATACAAAAGCAAATATGTCATTTTTAGTTTAATTTATATATCTATTGATATCTCTTTATTTGAATACAATATAGTAAGATGTACAGCCTGGACAGCTAGGTGCATTATTAAATAAATAAAATAAATTCTATACGATAAAAGTGGTAAAAGTACAAAAACAAATGCCTTTATTAGTTATTTCGTAAATGAATATCATTTTCTGTTTCTAAAATGTTTAATTAAGGGTTCTGGTGGGGTTCCGATTCAAATAGTTTCAAAGAGTTCCAGTTCCAGAACAGGGTCTCTGTGGTACAATTCCATCCCTTTACTCTAGTGCTGTATAATATTATTCACTGGTATGTTGGATTTTGTTGTAGTGTATTTGACCTCAATCGCGTTCTGCGCGGTTTCAAGTAAAATTCTATGATTCATTTCACCAAATTCATCAAATTATTCACCCAGCCTCGACCCTAACTTAACACTGTCTACAACAGTAAAAGGGTGTTTTACATGAATTATTATACTGCAAATATTCGTTCTATAGTTTTCGTATTTGTTATAATATTATTATTTCCATCACCTACGAGTATTATTTATTATGAACTGAACATTTTGATGCTCGGGACTTAGAAGTATATACTATATACTATATACTATTTAGTACATAAGGTACAGTTCTAGTATTACAAGCTATTATGACGCATGGAATAGAATATTTTTTAATATTAATGTATGCATTATTTTTATATTTCAATAAATATAATACAGAATATGTATAGTAATATAAATAACGATTTTTTTATTTCCAGTTTATAAATTTACGACTTGTGGATCAAAGGGTAGACTGGGCCCGAGTAATAGGTCGTGTGAAGCTGCATACACAAATACTACTGTGTCTGTGATAGTGGTTAACGACACATACATGGATGGAGTACAGATTTGGCATATACCTGAGACTGGAGTGTACACGTAAGTACCTACTAATAAGCGTTCAATGAAATCCAATAAATAGTCTCAACAAAAACGATCGGTAAAATATACATGCACATAAAATGACTTAATTAGTACATAGACTAATACATTTGTTTTTCAATACATAGCTTCTTGGCAATTACATCGAATTTGCTTTCAAATAATTGTCTTTTTTTTAATTACAAAACTGTGCATGAACACAATGGCCATAAATCTTTATCAAATTTCCATGTGTAGTTAGACATTAGTAATAACTACCTGAAACACGTGTTTCCATGTACCTATAATATATCCATACATACATACATACATGCATACGCATATACATACGTACATACATACATACAACACACACACACACACACACACACATATATGCATACATACATTCATACATACGTGTACAAGTAATACGCAACTATCAAGTATAAAATTGATGTTTGTCAATTAAGCCAAGTATTTGTGACTATCTGGACAATAATATTATTGTACACAATATTTCTACTTATATTTTGCGAAAATGAATTTTCAATAAACCAAAAAAGTATACATCAATTATGTTATTAAAAAATATAATATTGAAAGAAATTTGCTAATAAATTTTTTTGTTTAAACATATTATATAATATGATTATATTTTACCGCCCAATGAGTATTTGTTTGACCTCCTACGGTGAAGCAAGTGTGTTACCTAGTTTATCTGTGCTCTTTCATTGTTTTCGGTAGAAATTGCATAATTCCACCTATAAATAGGTAACAAAAATATTACAGTAAATTAACATTAAATCACTGTCTTATAAACCATAATAATATCAAAATCAGATAAACCACTTACCAAAGCAATTTTACCTGATTAATGTCAACTCACACTTCAAACTAATACAACAAACATGCCATTTAAAAATATAACAGTCTTAAAATTAAAATAAGATACTACATATTCATAAAATGCATGAGCCTCAACCATCGACGCAACTCACATGCCAATGTCCAACAACCCCAGTTACATTACATGCTTCAACGAAAAAAATCGATACAGGAAATAATACAAATATTATACAAAATAATTAAGTTAACAAGTACTCTATATAGTAACAGATAAAAAAAATTGTCAAAATATAGATCTATATAGATAGTATTTATCTCAACTGACGGTACACCACAAGCGTCAATATTTTAGTCATATGCCAAATCATAACGCCAAATGAATATAATACTTAGAAAATCATCCAAAAACCGCTTTAGTATTTTATTATCAAGTGAACAATGAACATATTATAATTTATGAGCTGTTCGAAAACACACAAATAGTCAGAATGAAATAAAACATCGTGAACTATTAGACCCAGCAAAAATAATAACAACATCAACAATATGTCTGTTTATAATACCGAACCTTGGAATATAGTAAATACACTCAAAAATATTTACATCAGTCCGACATCACAAATACATTATTTAAAAGCCGAAATCGATATCGAAGGGTATGAGCACACACTCAGTTTTCGCCGAAAAATGTTTATCAAACAAGATTTTGTGGAAAAACTACCCGGTCGATTACGGTAAAATATATAAAAGGAGCCCAATTTAAAAAATATGTAATGTCAATATTTATGTAACATACGGCGAAATAAAAAAAACAAAATTAACTTGGTATAAAAATATTACACATAAGTTAATTAAAAAAAAAAAAAAACAACAGCGACAACAAACTAATGTGACCCAACACTCGATTTTACCGCAGACAACGGAACAACGCAACGAAGTGTATATTACCCAAAAGCATTAATGAGCAATAACTACCACTTAACCATGTATGGTGATTCACGAAGCTTCACATTTGCTCTTTCCCATTTTTTCCTTCTTAAAAACTCTGGTTTTTGGAATTTTTGAATACACTCAAAGTCAATTTTTTAAAAGACCTGAATTAATTTGTACTTCATATGAGTGTTGTAAAAACCTCTGTTTTTGAAATGAGAACCCCCCTCCCCCAATTTCACTGTAAATTATTTAGTGAATCTTTTTTTTTTTAATGTTGATGTACCTATTTCAAAATTCGAATCAGTAGTTTCTTAGTTATTCAAATGTTTGTATTAGGGATGATCAACCTTAAAAATGGTTTTCTAAAAATAAAAAGGTCATAAAATTGGAATTACCTAGTATTTATTGGAACAATTTTACAAATTGTTGATGTTGATAGATTAATATGAATGATTAAAATTTTAAAATCAGTATAGCCCCCATATCTTATAGAGGTATATATATGTACTATGGGACCTTGTATCCCTAATTCCCATGATTGTAATACGTAAAATTTTCAGAAAAATTATCAGCTGAATAATTTACAGTTGAATGAGGAGTTTCAATTTGAAAAATAGAAGTTTGCATCTCCACATAACACTCCTTAAGTAGTTCGAAAAATCTCAACAATTTTTTAAATAAAATGTTACATTTAAAAATTCTAAAAATCAGATTTTAAATAACTGCATTATTGAAGGTAAAAAGGGGGCGAACATGCTCGGCAAATCATCCTGTAAGTTGGCTTTTAGCGTATGCCGTACACGTATTCTCATGGCTAAGGTGCGATCGCAACTTTGTGATACGCAGGTGTCATGGCCGCCACTGGCAGTGCATATTGTCACTACAATTTATTAGTTAACAAAATTATTAATCCCAAGGCTAAATAAATCTAAAAATCACTGCCAGCTGAGATTCTTTCCATGCTAAATCATGCATATATGTATACAATATAATGCACAATGGTAGATGCGCAGCCTACAACAGCCTATAATATTACTTTAATAATAAATTATTATTTGTAGTATAACTAAAATGTATCTCAATGCGATCATACCTAGTTATTTATCCATACGTATCCAGTAGTATACCTGTCCATTACCGTGGTAGATGTGTTATGTTTGTAAAAAAAATACAATCTGTGCGAGTGCTATCACGACTTGAACTCCGAAACTTCCGAAACGAAAACGTTGCGTGTTTCACTTATAATCTATACACACGACAGTCCGCCATTTCTTATGGATTTAGTTGACTAAGGTTGAATATATACCACACGATAACCGATAACTCACTTTGAGTTACATAAGCTTAACTAGTTTCTGACATTATTGGTATTGAGATATTAATATTATGTTAATATTGTACCCCGATTTGATACGGCCAATGTTAAAATATAACATTAATTGAATACATACTTATGGTTATTCAAATACTAAAAAAAAATTAATTAGGTACTCGACCACATCGTGAACTACTTATTTTAAAACTAATTGCAATGACAACATTGTATACTTACGTATGTAAGACGACTCCTAAATGTATTGTTCCACGCTCAAAACGTATGGCAATTAGGCACATCAGTTTCATTATATATAAATTAATTAATTATATCCTAGATATAATTTTGTATTTAGATTCCTTATTTATCTCTTATTGGGTTTTTAGGTGACACTGTTATTTATTAATTGTTTAACAGTCTAAAAAAAATACGTTTTCAAAATGTGTTGGTGTGTTTCAGTATTATAGCGAGAGGAGCTCGTGGCGGCAAGGGGGCTGACGGAATGGGCATTTCAAAGGGAGCCACGGCCATCGCGGTCGTTGAGTTGTCCAAGCACCAACAGTTGCACATATTGGTCGGTCAAGAAGGCGGAGACGCTTGCCGTAAAGTAAGGGTGTTTGAAATTAAAATAACCTACGGTCGCTGATGGCGAAAGGGTATATTATAATAATAATAATAATGATAATAATAATAACAATAACTATAACAATAACAATAACAATAACAATGACAATAACAATAACATTAACGATAATAATAATAATAATAATAGTATTACATAGGTAGGTACTCAACACGCGTTATTCAATACCTACGATTCGTCCGATTTCAAGCACTTGTATATATTTTAAGTTCTCCCGTTTAGATCGATAGTTAATACATTAAATAAAATACTATTGTATGAAATTTAATATTTGATAAGCGTTCGGAGTGGTTTTACGGACAACAATATCAAATTGATATTTAGAGTCAAATTCATCCCATTCTTGCTATCCACCATATCCGTTGTAAGTGAATCCTCCGATACTGTCATCTCCTCTATGGTTGATGGCTATGGTTGTACAGGATGCGAAACAGTCGTAGTCGTAAATCATGGCTAGGTGCTTCAGTCCCTCAACCCCATTTGGAAATGTTCTTTAATATTTAATATTATGTATTTATAAGTCTTGAAATATATAAACTTAATATATAAATCAAAATGTATTGTATAGTTATCAAATCGTACGTATGATTATAGCTAAAAGTATGCTAAAATTATAATTTTCTTCATTTTTCTGGAAAAAAATGTTGGGCCCCCCACTCATTACAGACTTCTAAATCAATGCTTCATTATGGAGTAAAATCGGGTGACCTGGAAGGTATGATACAAAGTGCCGAATGAATCGTATTGAATGAGCCCTATTCATAATATTATAATAAAATTATGTATGTACACAGGCTGGACACCTGTTCCTCGTGACGAGAAAACTGTGAGAGTGTGAGACACGGTCACTCAGTATGTACGGGAATGGTCATTCGTTTAATATTATTATGGCCACTCCAAAATTTTCCAAACTAATTTGGTATGCATTTGTACCTATAGCATGGCTTAAAGCGTATTACAGTGGGAGTATCGATCTCTTAAAATAAATGTTCATGAAATAAGTATAGACACGAAAAAAAACCAAACTCTTATGATAATGGTTTCTCAGGGTTTTTAATTATTTTAAACACCTAGATTTTTAATTTAATTATCAGCAGCAGAATACTTTTTCAAACAAATATAAATAGGCATCGGCTATTTTTGAACGAATTGAAGTTTTCATTATAAAACTTTAATAAGGTATAGATGAATGGGTTAATATGGAAAGTGACAACTCTGCAAGAGTAATCATTGCCATTTTACTCGGGACATCTCAACTTTAAGCTTTTATAAGTTGTAAAATAAAAAAGGAAAAGGTTTAGTTAGCATTCTATATTTTATTTTATATAAAATAACATTTTTGGAAAAATATTCTGCTTTGGGACGAAAAAAAACTTAAATACAAAAAACCGATGAAAAATTATACATCTACACTTATTTCTTATAAAGTAAATAGGTTCCCATAATAGGTATAGTGTTATAACATTATGTACGCCAAACCATTAAAATACATTGTTTTCTACCAAAAACACGAAAATCGACTAAGGGAAATCGGTTTTGGCCGGTTAAACGGATTACTTAACCGCACAATAATACACTAACCTATAAGTCATTATTAATTATATTATGTAGTTTTTACTGTGTGTGGGGGGGGGGGACACTTGTGGCAGACGGGTTCTAATCTTTTTTTTCCTCGGAATTATGTTTAGACGTTTGAAAAACGCGACGACGCGTGCCAGCAAGAACAATACTTCAGGACCGGGAGCGCCCTGAAAGAATTGCACGACTTGCGCCTGCTCAACGGCGGTGGAGGCGGTGGAGGCGGATCTTTTGTTTTTACAGTTAAGTGCCGATTTCTCGTGGGACACGGACCCGAAACCAACGTACAACAACAGCAAACTTTCCGCACACGCCATTGTTATGCGCTGCTCCGGAGCGGCGCATACTTTTCCAAGAATAAATTACGCACAATGTTTCAACCGTGAAATGTCCGAAAATATTTAATATTTCATTACGAGGGCAGCACGTTATTCGGTCGCCGGTTCGAAACATATAATATACAAACGAATAGCCCTATGGTACAAAAACATCAGAACTATATTATTGACCCGATGGATATCCTCCGATGAAGTAGTATAACAATAATATTCAGAAATGTAATTACATTACACTCGCGGGGCGGTAAACAATAATGTTAAATAAAGTTTTTTTTTTTTTAATTTAACCAATTTAAGTTATATTGTAATGTAATCAGTATACGGGACTAAAAGGAAAATAGTTATTATATTATTTGGAAATAATTTCACATGACTAATGAAAACGATGATTATATCGAGTTTCGATGTTTATTCTAATGTGTAAATTATTTTAAATGTACATAGTTAGTTCGTGTAGTTCTCTTAGTCGGCAACATTATTGCTATACTTTTATTCATAGGTAGTCGATATTTTGTCGAACGAATATCAACTCAAATATTATTTCAATAGCATTTATAGAAAACTAGTTAGATAAAATGGTATACCCATTTTCATTAATAGTTTATTAATTTACGTTATTGTTTAAAATCCAAAACTAAAATTGTGTAATATGGGATACAACACATCTTAAATTTATACACACAAAATAAAAATATACTTACAGTGAAATTATATTAATGATTATTCATTGTATCAGATTTTTTATTAACTATTTATGAAAAACTTAATTTTTTTTCAACTTTTTTTATGATGGAACGCGGAAAATACTACCAAATTTTTATAATTATTAAACAAAAAATACAATCATTTTTATTTCAAAATGTTAACTAGAATATTTTTTTATTTTATGAACGGGAAAATAATACATAGAACACAGAACTAATCTTTATTTTTATTTAAACGCAGCTTGACCTAAAATAATAATTTACTGGTGCCCTGATCGGTTCATATAAATGTTATACTTTTATTAGTAGTACAAATAATATTATTGAGTTGTCATTATACTCGTACTTTATATTCGATATTTATACTTCAGAAAAATATTCTGTGTAATAATTCAAAATTCAAACTATAACTATGTCATTATTTAAAAAATGAGTAGGTATGACAATAATAATAATTATAATGTAAAAGTTCAAATCGTGTGTAACATACATTTTAAAAATAGATTTTTTTTAAATAAACCTTTTAAAAGAGTAAATTATCAATATTAAAAAATCATCATGTATAGGTGTTACAATTTGATAACACTCAAAATGTGTCAACTCATGCATACGTAAATACGTTGACATCCTGGTTATTGATCTACTTCTGAAAAAAAAAATACTGTACCTATAAATAATGTAAATAGCTTTTATAGTCCTGTAGATGTTTCATAATGAGAAATATATTCCATTTTTTTGTTATTTCCATGTTTGAATAAAACATTACAAAATACGTATTAAGTAGGTATTCCAAATGCATAAAGTAATATTTTTAAAATGTTTTCAAATTAAAGGGCTCGCGGGAAGAAGGATTCTTACCGTTGGTGATTGGTGCTGGAGGAGGTGGTTTGGCACACGGACCATTCAAGGACGACAGGAGTCAACATGGTAATGGCACCAACATGAGATTACCAGCGATCACCGCACCATCATTTGGTGAAAATCCCGCAGGTTTGTCTTAAAGACTAATTTTCTTTCTTATAATTTTTTGTTTTTCATTTGGAACGAGCTGCGTATTGATTTTTTAATGACACAACTTTTTTCGGTCAACACATTTTGCAGGGCAGTTAGTTTGTAAGCTTGTAACGTTTGCGCTGCACTTCATTAGACTAAAAACTCGACACGTGTAACATCGGTTACTCACTAAATTTTTTGAAAAAGGTCATTTCCCGAATTTATTAACAACAATTAATCATCGTGAAGACCAGATAAAAAATTCAAACATACATTTTGAATAAATTTCTTTAAGATTGACAGCAAAATAACTATTTACGAGTGAACCTATAAAGTTCCATTTTGAATCTTTTTTTTTGAAATTCTTTGATCTTAGAAAACAGTAATATAATAATAAAACTTATACTAATATATAAGTGTTATCGTCCATAAGGCATGTATATTATGTCTTTCTAAAGGATTTTGTTAGAATAAGTGTGGTCCGACCTGTCAGCATGTAGGTAGGATGTGATTTCGGTCCGGGAAAATGGAATGGTCAATTCTACAAAATTGACCCAATCAAGTGAACTTGCCAGAATTGGATTGGTTTTGAAATGGTTTCGCGTGCATATTTAATGCCATTTTCACGGTAGATACTCGTAAGACGGACTAACTAATTCTGCCGAGTTTCCCAGAAGTATATGTGTCTAATTTCATTGTATTTTCTACAAAAACTGTAGAGCAATTGGAAAGGTCGGGGAAATCCTTCGAAATCGTTGAAAATTTTAAATGATTTAATATATTCAGCAAATAGATTGTTTCTAATACGAATCCGGAGAACACCAAACGAATACATAATTGTAGTTATTTAGAACGAACAAATGAACAACGTTCCTTATTCGGTCCGCGATAGTTGTGCTGCGCTGTTGTTCATCCTCAGTTTTATAACTTTACTCGAGATTAAAATGTAATTAGTAAATGACGTGGAATTGAATATTATTATACATTTCGGTGGATCGTATTTGTTTCCCCATAAAAAACATTGTTTCTCGAGTGATTCCGTTTTGCCGTGTTTTCATGCTTAATTTCCTTTTGTAATTTCTGTGTTGGGTGGTCATCGAGGTTTTTGATTTGATATGTGATGCATTTTGGCAATTTTGCGGAATATATATTTATTATCATTGTACCAACGATGAAATCAACCACGAATATGAATTATTTCATTGATAACAAATTAGGTAATAGACAAATATAAAACTAGACATTCTCTTCAATAATACATATTATGTAACACTAGTGTTTCCATTTACTTTCAAGCAATTACCAAAAGATTAATTATAATACCGAATTATGTACTTAAACGTCAGACTTTAATGATTTGTTCAAAATTATTTATATCATGGTGCTTGTAACTTTTACACAGTTGTGTGACTGTTTAGGTATAAAACTCTTTAATCTTTTAAAAGCATGTTACATAATTAATAGAGCATTAAATGTTAAATAAACTGAAACATAATAGGATAAAATATAAATTAAACTCGTTCGGTAATAACTATACGGTATGTGCAGTTTTCGTTTTAATCTGGTGTTCTAATTGAATAAAGGTGATGCTCGTGTGCTATTTAACACACTTTTATTACATGCCAGTGATTAAAGGATCAACCTGACCCGTTGGTTCTACTTTATTATTTTCAAAACATTTATTCAAATGTCTTTTCATAATTATCTAATATGTCACTGGTTACACTGCAGGTAATATGAATTTATTAGCATAGCGTGGCGAATACATTTAGAACAGTTAAATTTAATTACACCTTGCTGTAACTACGTTTTGTATATTATGTACGACACGTGTTTAAACTCATGTTAATAATGTAATATCGTTTTACCTACCTTAACTTTTGTGTGTATAAAATTCTATAATTTAAAGTTGTCGTTTAGTTGTTTAATCGACTGAACCAAAATGTGGAATAAAAATAAGCTCAAATATACGTAATATTAAACAACAGTGGTTTGGGCTTATTGGTTTAAATAAAAATATAAGATTTTGTATGAATCGATTTTAGGATAGACGGTGATTACATGAATTGTCTATTTATTCAGTAACTATCTCTTTAAAGTCGGTCTTACAAGTATTTTGTTTCGGGAAAAAAAAGGTGAAACCGTTGAGTGAATTGATTTCATAATATTCAAAACGTTAGGAAATTTGATTCATGCACAACTTCGTGGCTAAATGATATTAAGTTATTCGTAATTAAATCAAAAAAATAATTACAAAAGCAATTTTGGCATCTGTGGAATCATAGATTAATGTTATTTCCGAAATCGTTCGTCAGTCTGTAATATCGGTGGTCCTTTTACGAGGTAGTACACACACACACACACACACACACACACNACACACACACACACACACACACACACACACACACACACACACACACACACACACACACTGATGACCTGTTTAGTTCCCAAACACACTCAAGGCAAGCGCATCACTCACTTGTGATAATATATCGCCAATTTGGAACTTACAATCAGGCATCGGTGGCCTCAAACTATAAATTGCCATTACAACATAACAGCACAACTGGGAATCGAATTTGTAACCGATCCATGTTATAATACGTATATCGTTGTACAAAAACATTAGGTGCTCAGCTATTATCCCGTAAACCTGTGGCGAACCCAATCAATGGAATGCCATTCTCCGTGCATATTGTTAATAAGCTCATGAGTACTGTACAAAATCGTGACTAAAATTTAAAATTTAAAATTTTATATTGTTTTGTTAATAAAATAAAATAATATAAAATCAGTTTAGTTTTGATGGAAATAACAATAGTAGGTAAATCATGAAATTTAACTCGTTAAATTAATACTATTGTCGTTCGCTGTTAATTTGATTATGGAAACTGTTGATTTTTTAAGTAAAAAATGAATAGATTTTTAAATTATTGAAATTTTGCAAGAACCAAATAAATTATAAATTTATAATGCACCTATAATATTGTTGATCCTGACAAAATAATTTATAATTTATATCGCCCAATGTATTTCTTAGTTTTTTAGATTTATTATACGATTTTATAAAAAAAAAATTTAGAAGTTGCAAAATATCATACGATTATCAATTATGTACGTTAAGATAATATATGTATAAAATATAGTTACGTATATGGGAAGTAAAAACACGTAACACTACTTTTTTTGATGGAGTGAGGGGTTGATAACAATTCAATATTATACAGAGCACAACTCTAAAAAAATAGTTATCATTCTATGGACAGTTATCTTAATTATGAGTAATAACATTTTTTCTTGTTGTTATTATTATTTATTTGTCATCCTGGATTGAACTTATGTGTGAAATGTTATTAAAATGTTTAAATTTATATTTATATTCCTGCAATTATCACGTTTTGAAGCTGGGAAAATCTCAAACTTCACTTTTAAGGGTGGATTCTGGGTGAACATTGAATCTACTTCGATGGTGAAAAAGTAGAAAAAGTACATTTTAAAAAACCTTGAAACACAAAAAAAAAAAACAGTGGAAAAATGTGAATATTTACGCAACACCATTATTCGATAAAATCAATTTTGTTTGTTTTTTATGTACTTACTGATTCAAAAGGAATAACAGTAGAAACTTGAAATGTTCACCAAATAATTACGTTTCCTACTATTTTAATGACACGAATTTACAATAGGTAACAGTTTTGAATACCTTCAGAAAAGTATATGAAAATTATTATAATCACACTAACGTGTCTGTCACAAATAGTTAATAATACACTTTACTGCTTAAAGTTATACACATAAAACGTATATTACGCCGCCTGTCAAAATTCATAGGTTCTATGTCGTCACACGCATATTTCCAAACGCTAGTATCTCATTGAATAATTACAGAGTTTGAGTTTGGACCCACACGACAATTTTTAGATAATTACGTACTTGAAGCCCAATCAGACTTCTTTCCAGTATTGGGATTTTTTAAAATAAATAATTGGTGTTTGAAAAATGTTTAGCAGGAAATGGGTATGGGAATGTGTTACGAAAGGGTGTGTTTCAATATCATTAACTATCATCGAATATCGATTAAACAATAAATCATACAGGTAATTTACTATCATCTGCAGTACCTAACGACTGTTATAGTAAATATTAATAATTAATTATTTTATAATAATATTATGTATGACACATACTATACATAAAACAGAATATTACAGATTAAGTAACTATTATAATTTGGGCAACAAGTCATAAATGTATTGTTATAATAATAATATTATAATCTTGGAAATTCTAATCAAAAGACAAAAGATAGAACGCCATTGAAATACGATTTGAAAATCGCAATGGCTATAAAAGGTATTTCGAAATTAAAAAATTCCATTACCATTTCGATCATAAAAACTGCGAAATAATTTTAAAACGAAATGAAATTCGATCCTATTTTAATTACATCACATTTTATGGTGGTTTTTTTTGATTTCCTTTACACTAAAAATGCTATAAGATAATGAGTTATGAATTTATGTCGACTATGAATTATGACTATTATAAATGTACTATAGAACGTATCAATATAGCGTATTAATATAATACTAGTAAATAATTGAAAATTTAAATAAAAATAATCTAACAACTTACTTTTAATAATAAATACAAAATATTTATTTTACATAATCAACAATGTATAATATTATGATGAATGACATATTATAAAACAATAATGGATATTGTTAATATTCATGAACTATAAATTGAAATTAAGTTATATATTTTAATAGAGATTCACCAAAACAATAGTTTGGATGAGCCAACATCATCCAATTCATCAGAGCCGCCAATCTTCAAACCAAAATTTTAAATCATTTAATATAAGTACACAATTTATATGTAATCGATTACATTTTATTTTGTTAGCCTGTGGCCCATGTTGCCAAAGGCCTTGTATCAATAAGAAACAAAAAAAAAAACAAATAATTTCGATGATGGGTCTTTACGGTTAGTGAAATCCATTTAAAAATACAGTAACTTACATAATATTGTGCATCATGGATTTATTCTACGAATTTCTTTTGGGTATTGGTGTAGGTACGCTATTTATACATGAACAAACTGAATCACATTTCAAAGAGTAATGAACATGGTTAAACATTTTATTTTCAATGCCGTCACTTACTGAATACTTATTTTAAAATGTTCGAGGATAATAAAAAAACATTTTTATGCATAGGTTCAAATTCCATTTAAAAAAAAATAAAATATATTTTGCTGCACGAATAGTTTACTGATAATAAATTTTTAAAATGCTTTGATTAATGTTTCCGCATTCAAAATTATTGTTATTTATGTGTTTATAAAAACATCGTAAATGCAATAAATATTTTTCGTACCCTTTAACTTTTTTCAAGGTTCATTGTAATTTGTGATAGTTATATTATATTTGAGAGTTATTGCTAATCAAGAGATTTGTTTTCGTTTCAACTGTTAATTGATTATATTCAATTTGTCTGTGGTAGATGTTGTGTATAATTTATCTATTAATTCAGCATACTATCTACTTAGGTACCTACTTACTTTATGAAACATTTTTGATATTATATATTTCCACATTTGTCGCTTCCAAAAAATGTTTTTCTGTGCCTAATATTGCATAGATTATAACGCATTATCGAAAATATAATATAACCAATATTATCCTCATCCCACTTTCAATTACCTTAGCTGCAAATAACTTTGCAGGTACCTATTATCAATAAGTAATAACTTATACAATATTTTATCTAATATATTAAATTTATGTGCAATCGACAGATACACAGATTACGAAACACACTATTTTTTTCTAAGATTGAATTTAAAAAAAAATTATAGCAGTATTAATTGTCTGGAAGTAAATAAGACAGTTATAATTATGATGTTAATAGGCAGTAGGCACATCACTGGATTTTGAGAACAAATAATAATAATAGCTGCGTTCGATTGAAAACTCGACAAAAGTCATTTGCCTATACTATATTAAGTGTCTATGTGTCTGTGAAGTCCTCATGACTCTGAATGTACGATATTTAATTAATAGATTTTGATTCAGACCATTTATTGGAAACTGATACACCGAACAGATATATGTTTTTCCGATCAAATTTAGATATTATATAAGTACCTACATCTAACTGAAAAAAATAACTAGCATAAAGTATAACGTACATTTATACATATACACATTTATACATATAACGTACGTTTATACATTATAGACTATGACAAATAATAATTGAATTCGTGAATGTTACCTACGTATAAGATAAGTTTGAATTTTTTTTTTTTTTGTAAACCCGTTGTTTATTCGTAATGATCGTTTTATCTACCTACTCTAATCATTTAATTATAATATTGTAATGAAATTTCGGCTACATGAAACGAATGGATTGTTTGTGTTCCATTTTCCAAGAAAACTCAACATTGTGCGCAGTATCTAAACGTCCTAGACGGTTAGACCTGATAACATTGTAATTGTTATTAACATGCAATTTCTCAAACAATATTATTATTGTTAAAGTTCTGCCTCGAAACGTAGGTAATACAGATTTGGCCTTTGATACTACGAACGTTCACATTTGTCTTGCGAACTTGATTTTTGAAATCAGCTACACAATACATTGGTTTAATAATTCACGACTTAACATACGCTGCAGGTACAACTCAATCATATCATCCACTAATTTATAATAAGACATTCCATAAATCATGCAATTTATCTTAAATAATTAATTTTTTACCAGAACTGAAGGATATCAAACATTCATCTGAGTCAAGTCAATTCTATGCACGATATAGGCACAACAAATATTATAATATGCAAAAATTAAATTAAATATAATATTATTATTAGGTACAGTTACACAGTATATATATTTTTTGGATAGTTTGTTTTAATATTACACACTCGCATTTCCAATATTGATTACAATATCGATGTGTGGATGGTTAATAGTTATGTTAGGAGTGAATGAACATAACGCGGATTGATTACATCTAATATGATTATATTGATTGCACTAGTTTACAACAATTTGACTTGTGTCAGTGAACTATCCGAACCATCCGAAGAAGGGTCAAATTGAGTTTGATCCCATTTCAAATGATTTCGATATAGTTTCATATTGTGCAAATCATTATCAAATCAATATGGTTGAAATTTTTTTCAAACTCATCTCTTACATAACTATCTAACGAGACTTACCTGTGTCAATTCGTGATATGTCATAATATATTGTATACTATTTTTTTTCCGAATCAATATGTACCAATGGGTGAAAATTCTGAATGTCAATCACGTGGTGAACGCTTTGCATGGCCCCATACCTGACACCATTTATGTGGTGAGCGTTGTGCAGGACACGGTGATCTATACCACTTTAATTATTTAACGACGTAGCATGCAGTCGTCAGTCTTGAGATTTGTGTTGAGAAAGATAGGTATTGAAATTAATTAACACTTAGACTTGTTTTGGTAACAATAAAGTAAAACAGCTTATTAAATATAATTTAAACATAAAAATCCTTAAGCACACTGTCGTAAGCGCTTGACGCTATCGAGCAGTGCTGACTATCTTCTAAATAATGGTAGGTGCTCAACCCGTATGTATGCGGGTTCTAACAATGACGTATTATAGTGACGTGATATTCTAGTTCTACGTTCCCATATTGATGATTTGCTTTATTATGTAAAATAGGTAAAAACAACTTGTTATTTTCACCTATGATCTCTATTTAGGCTTTTATACCTATTAAATAGCTATACCTACCTTTATAATTTATAGTTATAAGTTATATATTCTAATAGGTATTATGGAATAATAATGCGTAATAGACTACTCATTTTGGGATTACTACAATCACTCCAACAAAACAATTTTTTTTTATATTAATTAAGTCATATTAATATTAACATAGATCATTGTGTGTTATTAGTTATTTTAGGAGTTACCGTAGGGTTTTTACAGATGTTGGAAACTCGTGTATGTGTGGCAAGGTTTTTCCACTACGAACCCGAGTGGTCACCCATCCGTGAACTGGTGACAGTGCTATGGAAGCTTCATATCATGCTATTTCTTGTTATCCTTAAATAAACTAACCATAAGCTCAAATAGTTAATTTTTTTTATTTTTTATTTGAAAGATTGGAAGTTTTGGAACTTAAGTTAAAATAATATTGACAAAAAAAAAAATATGGGACGTACCTTTTCTACTCTCTATATATTTTATTAACATTGAAACAAAAATTGTTGTATCTATTGGTATTAAATATATTTTTTGTTTGACTAAAATATAGAGTAATATTTCAGAAAATTATGTTGCAATATTAGCTGAGTCTATTTTATCAGATATTATTCTTAAGGTTTTGAGGGTGGATAACAAAAAAAAAAAATTATTTATACAAAAAATATATTATTATCATACAAATTTTCATTAAACTTTAATTTTGTCAAAATAACTATAATTTTTTTTCTTTAAGTACTATCACAATAGATATTTTCAATTTTTGTTTTGAATACACAAGTGTTGTAGTCTCATAATATATTTTGTATCACTTATCACATAACGGTATCACGGAAACAGCATTTTAAATGATTTTGGGTATCTTTTACTTATATACGTACTTTCAATTGGATAGAAATTTGGGCAGATTTTCAGAACTAGAGGTGCGAACCTTTGAAATCAAAAATATAATATACCATTTATATAGTAGCTTGAGAAGAATAATTAAATTTATATTTTTTAAACAATATCAGTAATGAAATAATATGTTCATAGTATAATTCAACAACGGGGATGATTATAATTGTGTATGCATTTAAGCCTAAATTATTGTGAAATTTCAGTTAGGTACTCAAATGGAATTTTTCTTTCTAATTTCATTTTTTAAATTAAAAATATATGTTATAATATTTAATGAATGTAAATCAATTTTACACGATACTTCTCAAAATTTGTTCATTCTCCTTTGGGGTGAATTTTATATATGTGAAACATTAAATAGGATTAAGCAGTAATGATATTTATTTTATAGTAGTTAATACCTTTGTTTCAAACTAAAACGGAATTCTGATTGTTAGGTACGTTTTTACAGCAATATTGAATAGCTATAAACTATTATAATCTAGGGAACAAAATAATTAAACAGAAATAATAAAGTTTTTTAGAACTCTGAAATATATAATAGCAATGCAATGTAAAATAATAATAATTTATTTAACAACAATTTATTATTTTAACACTCTGCAGAGAATTTATGTTTTATTGTGCTATAAAGAATAAATAACTATTGTGGTTTTTAATTTATAATAATAAAATAAACCTTTATAGTGTAATTTATAATAATGTAAAATGTCTATAAAATATCCGATAATTCTGAACTAATATTTATGAATATTTACTGTTCAAACAGACGGAGCAGAAATGCACCCAACAATTTGTAAGGTTTTCTAACCAGCCACTTCAATCTTTTAACACTTAAAAGAAATTCTTTCGATGTTCAGAATAAATTAATACGTCAAAATGTTCAAAACATGAAATCACAGTCATGCGGATTTCTGTTGAAAAAAATTAAAGACTTAAAAATACGCGAATTGAGATGCAAACTTCATACTTACAAGAATGTTATTTTTTTCAAAACAACAAAGGTTGATCTCTTGATCGATGTAATATTATTATATTATAATTTTGCTATCCAGTATAAAATGTGTACTGTAATATTATATAGTTTATTAAAATAAGATGTTGGTATTTTTTTTAATCTTTCTCTAATTTAATGTGTCCCCTAAAAACGACACAATTTAACTCAATTTACTCTTTTGCACTCGTTACTATTTAATTTGATTTTTTTGTTCACGTGCCAGGTATTTAACGATTTTTGACCACACTTGTTGAATTCCAAGTAGCTTATATTATTGCGTTTGAGTAATTTATTCTTCTGTACAATTATAGGTGCTGGTGGCGGTTGGGCTCCGGGAAACTATACGGAAGACAAAAAATCCACTGGCTCGGCGTTGCTGGGGACTGGCGGTTTTGGAAGCGATGGAGGTGGCGTCGGCGGCCTGGCGTGTTACAAGAGCCGAGGCAACACCAAAGGATTTGGAGGATTCGGTGGAGGTGGTGGTGGATGCGTTGCCGGCGGTGGAGGTGGCGGTTTCACTGGTAAGCCAATATTGACATTGATGTACTCGAGGACAAACACGCACAGGTCTCGACAAAACCTAGAACGGCCGGATGCGATACCATTACGGCGAATCCGTTTTATGGGACGATTTTTGTTTCGTGTCTGCATTAAATGATTTCGTTTGAAAATTAATTATTTTGGCACCGAACAATAATATCATACATATTTATCACATGTTAATTAAATGTCCCTACCGGGTGATCAGAGATATCGACTCTACAGCGAATCACCAAAGCATGGAAATATTCTTGTAATAATGAAATGCTTTATGACTCCAAAATTAATATACGATAGTGATAACACGTTAAAGACTCCATTGCCCCCGAAAAAGATAACATAGTAAAAATGTTATCATTTGCCAAACACATAAACCTATGCAGTATGCTGTTTAGTTTAAATTTAATGAGGAAATACAAAAATAAAAAAAATAAAAAAAATACATTTTATAAAATACAAGTCAATGGTCCAGATACCTAGCCTTCTACAATTATAAAAAAAAGTTCATAATTTACAGGATGATCCACCAAGCAAATTCAACACCATTTTTTTTCTTAAATAACAATATTATTGAAATTTTGATTCAAACAAGTAGTTAATTTCAGTTATTTAACTTTTTGTATCTATAAATAGGCATTGGAGAGCGGGAAAGCACCGTATTAAACTTCTGAGCGTTGGAGAATATACAATATTTTAAAAATTTAAAATTGGTTTTGCTCCATTTTATCATAAGTATTGTAATCTTCGATAATATTTACGCATTTTTCAGAAATCTTAGGTTGAACTCAAAAAAATACTTAATTTTGAAAGTACTAAAACATACCTAGGATTTAGCCTCAAGTTATCACAGTATTAGTCTTGAAGAAATCCCGTATAGATGTTTTTATGATCTAAAATAGTAGAAATATATAAAAGCAGTGGATAGGTACACTTTGTAATACATTTCAATAGCCCCTTCATAATAAAAATCCTGAGAAATGTATTTCGGATTTTTTTACTATAATTAAATAAAATAAAAACTCAATTCCCATATTACTTTTGCTTTACTATAAAAATAAACATAGAACTTCAATAATATTATAAACATATAAAAAACATAATACTTACTTCAAGATAAATTGCTAGGTCCCTACCTACCAATATTTTAAGCAAAAAAACGTTTTGAAATTTTCGAATGGCAGAAGATTTTGCCCCAATGGGTTTTCCCTGCAGTAGGTGTCATTAAATTAACAGCAATTCACTAAAAAGTACAATCAACATTCCTTCAAATAATATCATTAAATAATCTACACTTTCTTTTCAGTAATTTGTTGCAGTTTTTTTTTACATCAAACAAATGAAAGAAATATATTTTTTAACAACAAATATAAAAAAAATATTGATTATATATATATTTTGCGATAGCCAGAATTTGAGCTTGAATTTATCACAAAAGAGATTAATAGTTATCGATAACAATACGTATACGGTCATGGAAAAATATACATCAATAATTCTTTTTTTTCTATCTTTTCTCATTGTTGAGGAATCTTCTCGAATGGTTATGCCATCTCGGGAGGAACCATCCCAGTCACTGTTAATAGTTCCATGATAATGGGGATTTATGATCATTAATATTAAATTATCAAGATTAATATTTTGTAAAAAATGGTCCAAGTACCTATAGATTACAGCAGCGTTTCCCAAAGTGTGTTCCGCGGAACCTTAAGGTTCCGTGGGACTATGTCAAGGGTTCCGCCAGATGTATGAGACTATTGAGAAAATTATGTTTATTTAATGTTTGTTATTTAAAATATTTTTGATTGAAAATTTTTTTTTAAACTAAGTTTAATAATGAAAAGTCATTAACAGTATCATTGAAATATTATTTAGACTTGAGAGTTTAGAGAATTGATTTTCCTTTTTTTATTTAGAAAAATTGTAGTTGAGTTGGATTAGATATTAGGGTTCCGCGAAACACACACAATTTTTTAAGGGTGCCTTGGTCGTAAAAGTTTGGGAACCGCTGGACTACAGTAAAAAACTAAATCCAATGCTAGTTTTATATTTTATCAAAACCATATTTGAAAAGTATTATCCTAAGAATAAACATTTGAATAGATAAGAACTTCTCATTCAAAATATGAACTAAGTACATCAACATTTTCAAAAAATTATCAGCTTGGTGAACCACTCTGCATAGTATCTTTTTCAAAAAAAAAAAAAAAGGTTACATATTATTATTATCACTTTTATTGTATTGCCCGGTCATATTTCGAATATTTTAATTTACCGATCGGGACGTGCACTAGATCGCACTAGATTTATCATAAGACAAATCTAATTTTATTTTTACACAATACTCAATACTCAGCGTTATAGTTGGTAAACAATATAATTATGTATTTAATTATTGTACTACTATACACAATATGGTAATATCAATAACAGATACGTCTAAAATCGACCAACACTGGCGCAATGTGTATCGTGAAATTCATAAAACATAATAATTGTTGGCGAAATGGCGATAGTAGACGCAACGGCCAACACCAGTCAACATTATTACTTGGATAAGATGAGACGGGATGTGAGTTTGCGCCCCCAGCAGTATACTAGTAGTAATAATAATAAATTAATGTGAAAAAAAAGAGAGAGGTCCTCTCAAACTCGGCAACCACAGGTTTCGAAGTAAAGGCAAAATAATAAATCAGCTCCGCCGCAATAAATCGGAAATGTATGTGCGACAACGGGCGTCTTCGAAAACGGCATATATATATTTATTATTTCTATTGCGTTCGGATCAGTTCTGCCAGAAATCCTGCGAATAATTTATTGTGATCTTATGCGATTTTCGACGAAATATATATAGTTGCAGTTAAGTTTCTATAATAACACGGCATGTTACTACAACATAATAACCGAGCTCTAAGTAAAAAAAAAATAATAGTAATAATAATAACAATCGAATCGATTAATCAGTCTTGATTTACGGTCGCCGATTGTACGCGTTTATTATTACCTATCATCGAAAATTTGTCTCCGAAACAATATTTTAGGTAACATTAATTAATTTATTGGTAATATTTAAATGAGTAAAAACCGCAAAATACGTCGTATTTATTAAACTACTAACATTAGGTACCATTGCAATCAAATTTAAACGAATTCGTAATGTTCCATTTCAGTCGGTATCCTTGATCTCTGATCCTATATATAAAGGACAAAACATAAGGTTCGGTTAATGGTAGGTTCAAACTTCACTATACTTCTAAAAATTGTATTTACCACGAAAAAGATTCTCCGACAAGATATTTTTTAAAAGCATTGAAGTAGGCGTACGTTTTTTTCCTTTTTATCCGATCCAGAATTAATTTAATGTTTTTCATTTAGTTTCCATTTCTACACTTTGATTATTGTAAAAAAAAACAACCCTTTGTACTTTCTAAGCTACTATTGTGTATCAACACGTAATAAACGGAATGATTTACAGACAAAATTATTTACCTCGCTAAAAAGTATCATCCATTACCTTTTGATTACCAATTAGATTTGCAAAATGCCAGTCGTTAACGTGTATTCTTGATTGCATTTGATAGTGGAAATTGGGTCTACATAATCGTATATAATTAGGCGCCTTAAAAATGTAATCCAAAACTTATTTAAAACAATACAAAATATCGATGACTGCAAACATTGAAATGATATTGAAATAACAACGGCATAACTGGGTCATTCTTCGTACGGTGATATTTTTCTTTGATGTATTTGCTTTTTTATTCCATTGACTATAATAATATACCAGCTAATACTTCGCTTGGGTAATAGTATTATGAAAACAGTACAGGATTTTCTTTTTTTGCGAAACATTAACTACTGGCTTGTGGTTACACCGTTTTAAGTGGTAGTTTTTAGATTTATGAAGTTCCCCGGGTACACTGAATCTTCTGGTCTTATTTTCATAATAATTTAGTGTACCCACCATTATTAATTACCTGCCTATGGGTATATAGTTAATCAAATATCAATTACTAACATCTTTGTTTAATGTAGATAGTCATGATTAAAAATCAACAGTCAAATGAATAATAATTATGATTTAAAATAATAGTGTACTATGTGAAATAAAATGTAAGGTACTATTTTTTTTTCCGATAATTTAATAATGTATTACTTGTAATTGTTGTCGTACTTATATAAGGCACACTCAAGGGTTGCTTTAAAAAAGTATTTGTTATTTTTAATTTTTGATAATACATAAAGAGCGGGTCATACAAATAATTCAAATATTCTTTTTAATACTTTTTTTTTAACAAATTACTAGAGAGCCATGTATATATACACATCAAAGGTTGCGGGCAAAACATTAACTCAGTTTTTTTTCTACTGATATCTATAAATTATAATTCAAATAAAACAAAATAAAAATTAATTTAAAAGTATTCATATTAGTTATTTCTTGATATTTACTAATATACAAAAAAAATACACTGCACTATGTATAGTATTAACATTAACTCATGATTCATGAATTTTCATTTCAACATTTGAGTATTTGTTAATAAATGTTTCGGTATTTTCTATCTCCGTTAACAACTATTAGTTATTATTTAAAAAAAAAACATTGTAATAAAATTGTGGGAATCTAAAAAAACCATAAAAAAATGGTACAACTATAGTAATTATAGGTTCCTCCTATATGATTTGTTATTAATTATAATAAACTTCATTCAAATTTATTATTGACATTCAAAAATATGTTTCAAACAAATCCATTAAGCTAACAGATTTTAAAACTGATTGCCAAGGTGACAAAAGTCAAATGTCATAGAGACTTATTAACACCAGTTAGCCTTTTTTTCAGGAGAGTTGTTTAAACCCTCCTATTTTTAAAGCATTATTTACTCATAATATAGTCATATGGGTAAAATCATTTTTGTTATCTAGACTGATTTTCATTATAAAATATACAATATCTATTATCTACCTATACATAGCTTAATTAATTAAATATCTTTATTACTTGTATATTAATACAATAATACATTTTTAATATAAAAATTTGACGAATGCTTTGAAATGATATCTATTCGTTGTAATTATTGTAATTCTGAAAACATGGCTTTAATGAATACCTATACTTATACCAATATAATTAATATATTTTTGGTTAACTTCCCATTTTATTAACTAGATAATAGTATGAAAAATATACACGTATTATATCTCATTAAGCATACTTAATAATAGTTTAACGTATGGATGATACAATGAATATAATAATAATAATCCAGACATTGGAAAAATTATAATTTTACTCACTTTGATTAAAATACATATTTTTTTATCTAGTTTGACTATCCTTTTTTTAAGACTTAACATACCTGTAAACTTAAAATGCAGGTTTAGATGGGAATGAATAACAATTAAAAAAATTAATAAAACAGAAATAAGTGGTTTTAGACTAGTAATATTGACTGTGGTAATTTACAGACTGATAAAATTGATCCCGATTTACACTCAAAGAAGCCCTCGAACGATTTTGAGAAAAAAATACATTCCACTTTAGACTATTTTATATACAAATATAAATGGTATTTCCATTGTATTTATAGTAGCATCGATCATCCTGACTGGTTCTTTTTATCGGTATCCATACATACTTTAAGGAATGAATACCTATTATTATTATTATTATTATTATAGCACCATGATAAACGACTGCAGCTGTTTGGACCGTGCTAATTCGACAATACTACCAACAGTACCAACTCGCTTTTCTATTAATATTTTTGCTCGTCGAAAATACGCTAAACACTTTTTTGATGGCCAAATATTATACGATAAAATATAACAATAATAATATTGCAATTATTATCGACTAATATCGAACCGACTTGGAATTCAGGTGGTCGCGCTTGGAGCAACAGTCAGACGAACGGCGAGGGCGGCTGGTCGTACTTGCCGGACAACCAGCACGTGTTCTACAGGGCAGTGTATCCAGGCAGCAACTACAAGTCCGGAACAGTGTACATCATACCCGCCATCGTGGGTTGTGGGTGTGCGTACCTATGCGCCGCGACCAATCAGTTGCGCAGCTCGGTCGTCTGTATATGTCCGTCCGACTTCAAGCTCGGGCCCGACGGCAAGTCCTGCATATGTGAGTACTTTAGTTATCGAGTGGCATTATTTTTCGTACGGAAACGAATCCCTAACAAACGAAATAGTTATTGATATCTTCATAAACCATCGTCATTACAAACGACCGTAAAGACTTCAAATACGAACGGCCTGAACGAAAACGAGGAAATTCCGATTTCGGGGAGGGAAATGGGCCCGTATGCTATCATAGCTTACAGCACACTCTGTCCGTGCCACAATATTAGTACGGAATACGATTTCAATTTTTTAACGAAAAGATGCAGACGACGTGGACGTAAAAATGTTGCTTTACAATCGGTCCAAACCCGACATTTCTGTGCGACTCGTACAACACTGCAGGGTTACCAAAGTCAAGGCTGGGAGAGATATCGAAAGTGTTCAAAAGTATCTTGACACTTAACATGTCATTAGGTGTATTGTAGATAAATCATACAAGATCCTTGCCCTCAAAGATGCTTACACATTTATGCCCGCATATTTACGAACTGCCAACATTTGGGTATGTACTAACACTTAACTGTTTCCACAGATTAGCGATTGAAAATTATTTGAATAGGTACATTCAAAGGTGCTAAAAATTAAATATCTAAATAATACATTACTATTGTGACTGCAATATCAAATATGAAATAAATATAAAACACTCAGATAGAACTCGATTATTCTTAATGGTTGGGAGTGAGGGCGTTTTGATTGATTGGAGTGGTGGAGTAGTGAATTTATGTTGTTTTACGACCTGTAATGGAGGTTGTAATTACTGATTTTTATTATTGTTTCAACGATACTTAAAGTATAAAAAACATTTCGTACGATTGTGTGCATCGGGTATTGTATAATATAAGTTGTTAGAGATATTATACGTACGATCGAAAGCACAAGACGTACTCGTATACATTTTAATTACATTATTTATTACAATATTAATTAATTCCGCCATTTTTTAATCAACTATATAATCGAAGAGTATTAATTTTTTTCGCTTCAGATGTTATGTATAAATATGCAGTATGCACATTACAAAAGTATGCAGGCGCTCCTTTTATTTTCGCTCACTGACCTACGCGCAACGAAAATTGTACGTTGAGCAGAACCAACCCTGTGTTTTTACTTGTTACTCTCAATATTAAATTGAATTCGCCTATTTTCTACAATTTTAAGTTAAGGACCTGTGTGGCTAAGTTACTTTTTTACGATATTAAAACTGTTAAGCAGTTTATAATCATTTTTATAATTTTTACAACTTTACTTACATAAAAATTAAAATATTATGAGATAGCTAATGTTGTGACACATGTAGGTTTGCTCTTATTATGTAACTTATTACTCACATTATCAGAAAATAGCATCTTCTTACAACGTATACTTAGTATGGATCAATCGACATACTCATTGTTGTAGAAATTACTAATATATTGAAAATATTTTTTTGCATCATTTTAAGTCGTTACAAAACAATATTTTAAAGTTTTTGCTCTTTTAAATGACAAAATGCATTTTAAATTTAGTTCTACGAAACTAAATATTATTTGAAGTATTTCAGTCTAGAAACATTTCGAAAAAGTTGTTTAGCTATTACAAGTTATTATTAGTATTCAGAGTAAAATGAGCGGAGTATCGGGGAAACATTTTTCGAGGTATCGGTGTACTTCTCTACTCCGATCATCTTCGGAATATGGAAATGAAAAATATGCTTGTTGTCACTAAAAAAAAGCAAAACTTAAAAATGATAATATAAAAAATATCCTTTATCAATGGTTGAAATATTTCATATTGATACCGTACCTTTATACTTTATAGATATTTAAATATACTTTTTTGAATAAAAATTATATTCCATTCATTCTCTAATAACAAAATAGTATTTCTCCTTTGGTCGAAATTAATGTTCATTAATTATTCGAAAACAATTTAGAACACCTATGTTTGAATAGTTAATTGCATTTTAAGTTTGGTTCATGTTATCGAACATAATATATTTAACTGAATAGTACAGATAATTCGGGTTCACAACCTTTGCACTGTTATAATAGCTCATAACTAGTGTCTAATTAGTAATTGTGTTAGATCTAATTAATAGAGTAGGAATTAAACTTAAAATAATGACATTTCGATCTGCGTTACTGGAATAAAATCTATTTACTTTTTTACATTACAATGTTTTATATGTAATATTTTAATCTAATTTAATGATTGATCTACTTGCTTGTAATTTATAAATACACTTTCGTAGTACACAATAGTACAATAGTTCCTTCAAAATGTCTCTATACATTTAATTAATTCACTGAATATAATATTTTTTTTTATATATTATTAACTAACGATTTTAATGTTAGGTAAGTACTTAGACGTAAAAATACTTCTAAGAACTGATTAACAACTTTTAGTTAAATTTAAATTATAAAACAAGTTAGTTTTATGATAAAATTAATAATATATACTAGTTTGTACATAGAACTTAAATGTTAATATTATCTATCGAAAAACTAAAATGTTAAGATATTTAGTTCGAAGGCATTATTTGTGGCGCCCTCTTGTCGAGAGGTTTTACGATTCTTTTAATAAGTTATCAGTTTAATTTTGCCAACAGATGGATACAGAAAACTGATACACGATTACTGTGCCATATTTACGATTTTTATGAAAGTACAAAATTAATAAGACTATTCACATGTCATTGTTTTCAAATCGTTCATTTTTATTCACTGCAACACACATTTTACCAATTTTTACGTATAGCTCTTCTTACAAAAAATGTCAAAGTTTTTTTTTTCACATAAATAAATTATATTAAATAAGACCGATACGTTGGTAGTTCCATGAGTTTAGTTTGGTAATTTTGTATGCGCATGTTTAAGTGTGATAGTCTTAAAATTTGCTACTGATATAATATTTACTCGTTAAAATGTATTATACTATATAGAATTCATGATTTTTTACGACTCTGCTCGCTTCTTTCACTATAATCACCTGGGGTTTCATGATTCCCAAATCCCCGATGGCCCAAGTCTGCCATCACGAGCTCTCATCTTAAAATGTAATATCTGTAATTAAAAAAAAAAGAATTTAAATAAAATTTAAAAATCATTTTTAAAATAGAAGTGAGTTCTAAGTAGATAATTAATTACCTTAAAAGAATCGATATTTATTTAAATGTTGGTTTAAATAGAACATAAACTATACAACAGTTGTATGTAATAAAATAATAGAAATATTTATTATTAATCTATGAATACTACCTATATACAATTAATACATTTCTATAGAATATAAAATTATACTTAGATTCAAATATTGTTCTTGAACACTATATTTTTATTTTAAATTGAATTGTTACCTAAAAGTCTAAAAATATAAATGTTAAAACCAAATTTATCAAAAGAGTGTGTATATGTTCAATATAAATAAAATACATTATTCAAATTCCGCTTTTGTTGGTAGGTAAACTCAGGGATTTACAGTTTACAGCGTGTAAAAAACAAAAAAAACATAAAATTAGTTGTTGTAGACTGTTATTACTCGAGTTAATCTAGGTAGACAGTAGGTACGTATGTACGGTTAAACAATGATTACATTAAAAAACACAACAATATTAGATTAAAAGAGCATGATACTTTGACAGAAACGAAATTGTACTGAAAAAAACTGTTCACGCAATTCCCACACAGTCTAATTCGGTGGAAAAAGTATTCTTTTCTTCAAAATAAATGTTACGGAAGTTAGTATCATCTCAATTAATATTATTATTATAATTATTATTATTACATATTTGATTTTTTAGTTAGCACTGACATATTTTGTTAGCTAATGATGAGTTATGAATAGATTTTTACATAAATTAGAAATGGTAACATCTGTATATTACCAATAATTTGTGTTAATGTCTACTAAAAATAATAGTAATGATAAGAAATAATATATATATATTATTCAAATATAATAATTAGTAATAATCCAATAATAACATAAATAAAATATAAACATACAATTTCAGTTATTGAGGTACATAAATTATAAGTTACTAAGAAGTTAACTAAAATTGATTAACCCGTATAGGCTCTTTCGCTTAAGTATACGATGTTCAGGTGGTTCAGGTAATTGATGATGTGGTGGACCTTTTTAATTTGGTTTATTATTCTTTAAAATTGTTCTATATTTTTCATGTTATGTTTGGTGTGCGAAGCTACCAGAGGTATAAAATATATTTTTAAGATTTCAAATTGATATAATATACTTGTATTTTGTTAATACAAGCATTCAGGCAAACAAATATTTCTGAACTGAACAGAAAAAAAGTCACAAAAACATAGTATTCTGTTCACATTTTCAAGTTTGATTTCATGGAATAATTCAATTTCTATTCCCAAGGAATACATAGTAATAATAAACATACTTTATAATATAGTACCTGTTGTCTCTGGAATGAAAGAACGTTTATGGACATGTTGCTTGTATATTCGTTCCACTCGTAAATGTCATTAAAAAATATCTTTTCAAGTCTTGAAATTATTCAGTATTCATAAAATTTTGTTAAAACCATATATTATAATGAACACACTTCAAAACTAAAAACACCATTAGTTTTTAGGTGCTAAAGTTGTGCATGTGTAATGATGATGATCAAAGAAAAGACATACCTACCAGTCGGTGTGACTAACATGACAACGTACATCAAAATAACATGAATTTTCACACCATCATGCACAATATTAACAAATTCTATAAATAATGTCAGTCTAAATAAACACAACTTAATTTGAATAAAACTACATAACAACAAAGGTGTTTCTTAAAAATATCCAATGAAAATAATTTACTCCTAATCTTAATAAAGCAGCAAACAGTCGTGTTTAATAGGTAGTTTCTTAAGTAGTCTTAAGTAGTCAGGGCATTTGCGATTTTCGAATAGGTAGTTGATTTGATGTTGTAAACTAAATAGGTAGAACTACAATAATATTACCGTAATTAATCCGTCATATATTATTATGACTACAATGATATAAGTGTTTAATTTTCCCTTAACAGACACCTGTCAGACAACATATATTTCACCACCGAAAAGTATAAGATCGAATGCACAACGAAGAGTCATACCTATTATTGACAGTGGAAAAAAATAAACACTATTACATTTGAATACAATTGTTCACAAGTTGCAACAAAAGTGTTACGTAAAAATATCTGATGAAAATATACTACATTAATTTTTTTTTTATTTTAGAAATTTTACAATCTGTATTAACAAAAGCACAATAAGTAAATGCGATAATATATACAGCAAACAATATAATATAATGACAGAATGACAGGATAAGGGAGGTCATCCAATAATAGAACCCTTCAGATTTAATTTAAACATAATTTATTGATTTTTTTTATATTAAATCATAGAAGATTACGACACCAGCGTCTTTTAAGACGGCGAGGGTGATTGTCAGGAAGTGTACGTGATGACAGGTGGAAGATAAGAGGATTTTGGTGTAGATGTAATTTGTTGTGAAATTTAGTGTAGTATTGTTTAGTTAGTTGTTCAACAGTTTGTACTTTTAAGTCCTTGTGGAATGTATTATTTGTTACGTATACCATGGGTCAGATGTTATGAGACGGAGGGATATGGACTTTAATGCTTGGATGGTTTGTAGTGGGGACGGTTTGGCGCTACCCCAAATTTGGGAGCCATAGGTCCATATGGGTCCTAAAAAAGATTTGTATATTGTTAATTTTGAATTTATAGAAAGTTTGGATTTTAGTATTGGGCGAAGTATGTATAGACGATAATTTAATAATTTTCGTTTAGATTTAAGGTGTTATGGTTCCTATATATTTTACCTTCGATGTAATAGGAATACAATAACCTTTAAATCGCACGAAACCATAATTTTTGATAGGTACCTAATGTACAGCCTGAACTTTCTATTTTAGACAATATTTTATAAAAGCTAGTTTAGAGTTGATGTTCTAAGCGTATAAAAACACCCACCATAATATTATCGTAACTAATCAGACATGAAATATGACTACAATGGTATAATTGTTTAATTATCCTTTTAATAGGCAGCCGGTAAACATGTTTTCTTCGCTGCAAAACGTCTACAATCGAATTTACTTCGTATTATATAATTTTACAGATCCACCAATAACTTATTAGTTATTTACGTTACGGTTAACTCGTTTATACATATACCAAGTCGATACCATTCAAATTATATTATAAACTGTCGTTTTTGTATAATGATCAATGGTTGAATGCTCTTACTTTTTACGAACACTGAAAGATTTAATTTGGGTACAAAACTGATGGATAAAAGTATAAATTTCGAATAATTTATAATCCATCTAAATTGTATTGTTTGGTTAGGATATGATAATAACAGCGCATTTGTTATCTTTTTGTTGTTGTTGTTGAGTTTAAGTTTATTAGTAAAACACTAAATTATGAAACTGTGACAGAACGAACGAAAAAAAAAACATAATACATTGGATTATAGACATGGGGTCCTCCATGTATGACGTGTGATTAATGCATATTTGTTTTTTTTATAAGTTATTGAATAATCGCGTAAATTTATCGATAACAATAGGGAGGGTCGAGATAGAAAATAGATGACGCAGAAACTTTTTCCGTGCCTATGCAAGTTTAATTTTTGTTAGTTAAACTAATTTGCCCTAAATCAAAAGCGTAGCCTATTAACTATAATATATACTGTTTACACTCAGTTAATGTATATTTAACATTAATTTATATCAACATAATTAGCACTTGGACACAAAAACGTGGTATCGAGGCGGAAATAATATTGTAAATACAAACATCGTGAATTATCCTCAAAAATAATTTACAACATATACCTTTCGACGCCCACAAATATATTACTAATTTTTTGAACCCCGTAGATGGTAACTATTAGTAAAACTAATATTATAATTTATAAGCAACTAACTAGTATTATTATTATGCATTTGTCTGACTTGATAACTATTATTATTATACATTAATATTGTTTTACATTACAGATCAATCAACGGAGACGACAAAAATTATATTTTTAATCACTGGAAGTGTATTTACAGTTGTAATTATTTGCTTAATCTTAGGAATTTGGATGTGTAAGTTTAATGCTAATGTGATTAATACAATTTTGCTAACATTTCTCACATACGGTTTTAGATAGAAGTTATCGAAGACGAAAAGAACGCAAAGAAAATGTCAATATACTTCACAATGGAATTTTAAATTACGATATGACATCGAGAAACAGAAATGGAAATGTAGACATCAATCCTACTTATGATTTCAATGGAAGGACTTTGACCACGAACGACCTTCCAAGAATATTAAGGGATGAATTAAGAATACAAAAGTAAATACAATTTATGTTACTAATATAATAGTGAATTAAATATTTAATTGTTTAAATTAATAAAGTAAAATTACTATTTGCACTTGAGTCATCAGCTGATTTATTTCATGTAATTTTTTGTAATGTGAAATTGAATTATTTTTATTGCATTTGAAACCAAAAAAAAAAAGTTCGTTTTTGGTTAATACTGTCATTTGTGCGTGATCGTATTCGTTTCACCGGTTAAGTTATTCAATGGAGCGATCGATCTAATTTTTTGTTTTTAGTTTTGGTCACAATAATACAATGGTTTATTCGATTAATTATGGTAGTTGTCGCAGTACCATAATATATTATAAGGGTCGTGTAACTTTGACTTGGCGTAAAATAATTTAACCGGTGTCGTAAATGTGATTTCGAGACAGCGAGCAGTGCTATAACAGTGGAAAGGAACTTCTAACTTTGATTGCTAAACGGCAAAGTTTATAATGTACGTTACGTGTGATTTCTAGATCTATTGGCGAAGGAGCTTTTGGTGTGGTGTACCGTGGGTATTATAAAAAGACGGGAGAAACGAACGAAATGCGTGTCGCGATAAAGGTTAGTATCGAAAAGGCATTGCCAATACGCGTGTCTGATCGGAATACCAAATACTTTCATTGAACTAATGCACCGCCGCCGTATACGATATTCGATTGGTGTTGTTTCAGACTCTCCAACCGAAAAAAGACATGGCCAACGTGGAGGTGAAATTCGACGACGACAACACTCCTAATCCAGAAGTCGAAAGGGAAAAAAGACAGAGGATCAAAAGGGCTGAACTATCTTGTATACGTGACTTCCTGACCGAAGCCATCATAATGAGTCAGTTTAATCATCCGAACATTGTGAAATTCATCGGAATCACTTTCGAAAAGAACTATAGGTTCATCGTTACAGAACTTTTGAGTGGCGGTGACCTGAAAGAATTTTTACGCAAAAATCGCCCTTCAGTTGTACGTATAGTATATACTATTAAATAATAATTGCAGTAAAATTATGACCACCTGATAAACTATTGAACCACAGGAAATGTAAAATTTTGTGATAACAATATAACGTGATATTATGCTGTAGATTAATTTGTAAAATATTTACATACCTGCAGTATCAAATCGCTATAATATTATAACGAAACACAGTTCACAGGATTAAGAGGTTAAAAAAATACACAACATTTTAGACTTTCGTCAATATTTTATAAACAATAATTTGTTGTACGATATTATTTAGGTATTCATTTTTAGTCCTGTTTGTTATGTATTGACAATTTAATTTTGAAATACATTTTTTCTAACACGTTCAATACTATTTTCAGCAACAAAATCACAAAATCATTCCTATAAAGTTAAAAGATTTATTAAAAATGGCACTGGACATTGCCAAGGGCTGCGTATACTTGGAAAATCTTCATTTTATCCACAGAGATATTGCTGCCAGAAATTGTTTACTGTCTACGACAGGCCGTGGCAGAGTAACGAAAATCGCCGATTTCGGAATGTCTAGGGATGTATATAGGTATGTGGCATGTGTATCTATTTATATAACAATAATAATATTATGTAACTAAACATTTTTTGATTTTTCTTTTTTTTTTTTCAGAAACGAGTACTACAGAAAAGACGGTCAAGCAATGTTGCCCATTAAATGGATGCCAACAGAGTCGTTGATAGATGGCGTTTTTAATTCAAGAACTGATGTTTGGTAAAAAAAAAAAACTATATTTCAATAACACAATAAAATAAAACAGTAATAATATCATAAAAAAATAATACAAATATCAGTTTAATATGAAATGTTAAGTATATTTCAAATAGATAACTAGAAAGGCGTTAGGTAGGTTACAGCGACCATGCTGAATTGAATAGTAGGTGTCCTGTGTGTACTTATCGGCTTTGAGTAAGACACAGCAATGGATGTGTTAAATTTTAATTAAATGATGAATTATTGGATACTAAAAACTATTCTGACTTTATAAACTATATTGGTTGAATAGTTAATAAAAAAAATATTACAATTATTAAAAATTATTCATTGATATTCATTTATAATAATTCATCAGCCTATATAACTAAGTATATTTTATTATATTATATTATAAAAGTACTATCCAAGTAATTTATTTTAAATTGATAACTGACATGGTATGTTGAATTAACTTTTGCTGATAAAATTTCAAGTAAAAATGTCTTTGTGTATATTATAAAAAATAAGAGTATACGTTTAAAGTTTCAAGGACCCATGACATCAAATAACGACCAAATTTTAAACTAAAATGTTTTTAAAAAAAACTGAGATTTTTTTCCTGTATAAGATGAATACGAGTAACCTTGTATTAAATGTTAAATCCTTAGCTTATACAGTAAATATTTCATACATTTTTAACCACAAAATCGTTTGAAAAAAATATTTGCGATTCAATAAAATTGTGTGATGATTCATATTTAATATTTTTTAATATATATAATATCAACTTACGATTAACCTTGTAGCTTCCAAGTTTTTTGACGCAGCGAATAATGTTTTATTGATATTTAAAGAAAAAACAACTAAACAAAAATCAAAAATGTCAAATCTAAAATAAGCAGCGACCACTGTAGCTCAAATAGTATTAAAACATTTTTAAAATACTACAATTTATTTACAAAATATGCTAATATAAAAATTTGGTTAAGTTTAATATATCTACAAATGTTCATTTTTCAGTAACACTTAAAAAAAACAAAATGGATTTTGTTGATAATATTGGCAATTTTAAATTTTGATCTCACTCTACTCCACTCAAACTCTGAAATATATGTTTTAATATTTTTTTTTTAATAACATTCAACTTTATAATGTATTAATATCATATAATACTGTTATTCTGTTATTTACATCAAACAAAATTTCTAATATTAATAAGGTTGTCCTTGGTTCTTACTTCGATTGATTTTACAGTGAATGTGATTGAAGTTTTAATAACGTATGTATTTACCCAACATAATGAATCAAGTAAATATTATTAGTTCTATATACTGAGCTGTTACTAAAGCCTTTTCATTGGCTTGAATTTTTTTTAATGGAAATAGACAACATTTATTATGGATAGATAGGTAACTTCTAATTTGCATTAGGTAGTAAAAAATAAATAAATAACAATTATATTTAATTAAAACATTCAAATTTTAAGTGATGACTTTATGCAAGTTATCAAAAATACTAATTCAAGACTTTTAACAAAACATAAGAAAACCTTTAATTGAGATTTATTCAAGTTACTGACCTTGGATTTTTTGAAATTACTTATACTTTCTTACATGTAATGTTAACGCTTATTTTTAGGTCTTATGGAATCACGTTTTGGGAAATCATGACATTTGGATCTATGCCATACACGGGCATGACGAACAAAGAGACAATGAATTATGTTATGAGAGGTGGGCGTTTATCTAGACCAGTTATTTGTCCAGAACCTGTGTATAAGTTAATGGGCAGCTGCTGGAAGACAAATCCTCAAACTAGGCCTACGTTTGAGTACATTCGCAATAAGCTTCGACTCTTTATACAAGTAAGTACAGTTTTCACTCGGTTGCACCCTGTATAAAAGATGGACATAATTTCATGAAATATTTACGAGTGCCGTCCACCTACAACTGTTAGCACCTACAACTAACCCAAAATAGTACGAAACATAATATTTTAAGTCAAAATATACAACATTATTTAACGCATAAACCTTATTATACTACTTGACAAGCAACGAGCGTATGGAAAGCGGAACAACATAGAGGGTGCTTTTTGATTACTCGATTACTCGTACGCATGGCAGTTTAAGATATAGGTATTATGGATTATTGTACTTTTTTGTCGAGACAGAATACACCACTGTTAGATGTTGTTGCGCACCTCGTAGTTCTACGGAGTTCTTGTCTAGTAGTATACAGGGTCTATGATTTAATGTAATAATGTAATAATCAGAACTTCGATTTTGATAGGAGGGGTGGGGGGGTATTGACCTGTGATTAACACTTATGCCACGTAAATCGTACAGTTGCTGTACATTCGTTATCTTGAGAGACCTGGGGTGGTTGAAATTCTTCGGAACTACTTCTGACCCCCTCCCCCCTTCTTGACAAGACGTGTCCCGTAAACATTAATCAAATATTTATCACACGTCGTGTACCACCATGGCCCACTAATTCGTGTGTAACAATAATATGCATATGTGTGTTTGCCACCTGTTTGCGCAGGATCCAGCCATCATTGATTTCAAACCTCCGGTGATCGGCAGGCCTGCGGCGCAGCTTCCGTACCGAGCGACTCATCCGCTGGACGATAATGCGCCGCCGGATGGTGTTCTTCGGGCTCACGATTGCGTCACCGGAAGCGGAGGCATCCATCAGCTGTCCCAAAACGAACACCAAGAAGAACCGCAATACGTGACTCCACTTCCGGCCGACGACATGTTCGATGGTGTGGACGCGGAAATGATGAGGGACGCCGAGAGGTTTGGCAGGTTCCGGGGCAGCAACGAGATGGCTCCGCTGAACGACGACGACGACGATGACGGCAATGACAGTGGTGGTGACGAAGAGGACGAGGATGAGGACGAGGACGCCGTGAACACTGGTGAAGTGGACGATGAGGTTGACGACGACGATGACGACGACGACGACGACGATGAACAGAACGTAGAAGAGGAGGAGGACGACGACCCAAACGGCGCGGAGATCGTCCTGGACGCTGACACCAATCGGTTCGACGAGGACGAGGACGACGCGTACGGAGACAACAACGCCAGAAGCAACGGTCCTGTGACGTCGTATCACTGGAAGTTAGTGTTTCGGGCAAACTGCACCTCGTAATAAAAGGACTACGTAAAGCATAAAAATGGTTCTCATGAGATATCACCCAAAATAAAAAAATATTTTTGAAAAATAAATGAATCATTATCATTCATTATATTCCTTGTAAAATATTTTTTTATTAATATATCATTATCCGTTAAAATACATATATTTGATAAACACGGAAATATAAGTAGGTACGGAACATTCGTTCTCGTAATTATTTTTAATAGTAAAATATGCAATTGGGTTATCAGAATGAACATAAATAAACAAAAAATAAAAAATATTAAGAAATATAAAATTAAATTAAATACATTTTAAATATTTAAAATTAGTGACGCAAATTGAGTAGGTTGATAAACCATTCTATTTGTTTTTCACACAAAGACAATATGCGAGATTTTTTCATATACTCATAACCATTAATGGCGTATTTAGAACATAATTCCGGGGGGGGGGGGAGAGTTATTAGTGATTATTATTCTCAAAAAAAATAACAAAAAATGAATTAAACATTTATTTATAATTAACACATTTACCTCTATTATTTTATATTTATGCTGTTTAATTTTCTTAAAACAGTTAAACATATTTATGATTTATGCTTTGAAAATAATTATGTAATTTTTTATAAATCAACTTTAACACGATGGTTGAATATTTCTTTTTGTCTAGTTGCATGTGTATACAGTTAACATTTTAAATTTAAATTCTATTTATCAGTGGCCCTTAGGTAAATTGATAAAAAAAACATGTATTTTTATATTCTTAACCGTCAAAATAACTTTTAATGTCCTTCGGCAAACATTGGGGGGGACGGTCATTGGCCATAATATTGTTACAAACAATACAAACATTACAAACACGTCGTCGTTAGTCATGTAAAAAGTAGATCATACGGGATTAATGCTAATATTGTTCATTACTCTGGTGTTTTGTATTGGCATAGTGTACGTAGGCATGTGGGTCTGTACAAAAATAGACTTTCCTTTGATGACTAGCAAACATTTTTTTTATTTTAAAGAGCATTCATCTTTTTGAATTTGGTTTTCACTAAAATTAAAACACGCTTACAAGAAGTGTTTACGTTTTACATAAAAAATGTTTTTTAAACCATATATTTATTACATATTCTATTTATGTAAATAAAATTATGAACTATGAATTATTTTACTTACATCCTTTGAAAGAGATGTTTTATTCAATAGTTATAATAATTATCATCTTAACAACGATATAAGCAGCGTCCTGTTCATACAACGTCAAATTAACAAACACGTATCATTAATTTAATATTTGTGTTATTGCAGTAGGTTCAAAGAGACGAGTTTCATCAGCATGAAGGAACCCAACACCAAACAAACGGGTGCAGACGGCCAGACAAATCCGTCTAAAAGAAGAAAGTCGTTCTCCGAACTCGAAGACAACAGGCCCAACCCTTATTCGTTGACCGGTCGCGTTCGATACAACGTGGCGAGTGACGGGAAAATAAGATGCTGACATCCGGACTCAAGGACTTCGGTTATCGAGTCCTTGGAAATGTTATAAAATGTCCTTGCACGCAGCATGTACAATGTTTATACTCTGTTTTGACGTACGACTGTTGTAAATATTTTTTTTTCATTTTTAACTCACGTCATCTACCTGTAAAATAATTGTTTCATTTTAACGATATATCATACACATCTAAGTGTACACAAGTAACTGTGACCTAAATTAACAGACTAATAACTGCGCATCAAGCTATGCGTATAAGTAAAAATTATTTAAAACATCTAACAGTAAACAGTAAAAACATACGTTTATAATAATATTGGTCATTTGGTGAATAAAACTTAATGTGGGTACCGCTAAAACGTATTAATTATATACCATGCTTAAGCATTGTTCGATAAGGTAAAGATGACATATGAAGTACATATTTTGAAATCTCTTTAATATCATAAAATTTTAATTATAATATTAATAATTTGTTGTACTTTAAACCATAAAGTACATTTAAATATTAAAATAATATATTATTATGTATTTAAAAAAATAAAATAGTGTCAACAAAAAAATATAATAGCCAAAATATATGAAGTCACTAACGACTGGAAATTGTTATTTTATAATAATTTAATATTATGTCTAAGATGATTTCGAAAAGACGATAAAAAAAATATATACTATCATTTGAAAAATCATCATTTTTAATGTCCAAATAATAATAACATAATATTATAGAATTAAATTCAGTCATAACAATACAATTCGAAATATATAATGATATGCACTTAGGTACCCTAAAATATTGCATTCAACGATCAAGTTTAGGTATAATATATTATAAAAAAATACATTATATGTGTAATTGGTTGTATAATAAAATTGAATATATCATTAGATTATTTAAAATATTTTATATTATTGTTGCACCCCGTTAAGTAATATTACGTTAAAGATCTCTGCTGTGTTCAGTAACGGCTAATAATTGAATATTATAAATACCTTATGCGAATAAGAAAATATTTTATATACAATTTGATGAAACTATATTTTTACATAATCAGTAAAGGCATAATAACGTTTCGGTTTGTAAAGGGATAACGTATATCAATCAGCTTATAGCTAAGTTTTCCACGTATTTGATGGCAGTCTAAACCCACTTTGATCAAATTTTATTATTTGAATGGTTTATTTCCATTAATAAAAAAAAAACAAACATCGTTTCAAAAATAATTATAACGATATTGTACAACCAAAAGTTAAATAAGCATTCTTCTCGTATGAAGACTTAATAAAATGTCCATATAATCTCAAAGTAGTGAGCACACGATGTCTTGTTGTAATCTGATATCGAAATAATCTATAAAGCAGATGATCAGTTCAATAAACGTTGATTGTACATTTGAGCATCGATGTGCTTATGAGCTATTTTGACTTTCAGTGTTTAACTCAATGAGTAAATGTCTAGAAAAGTTGGAAATTATTTACTTGGCTTAAATTGTGAACAAATTAAAGCTATATAATATTGCGATTTAAATTTGGTTTGAATCAATATATTTCGAGTAGGTGAAGTATTCAAATTAATGTGAATTTCTCCTGACAAATGTCTCACTGAAATTCCGGAAGTCCCACTTTAATAATATATAGTATCAATGTGGCCTATATGTACGTAGGTAAAAGTGTTGTGTTCAAAAAATAACTGATGTTTTTTTTTTGTTTATCTTTGCTAAGTTAAAATGATTCATTACATGGCTAGCTGTTCTATAAGATAGTGAATGGTTAATAATAAGTTTAAAAAAAAAATGATAATATTAAAATTATATTGGTTTTAAGCGTTTGTGAAACCGACATAAACGTAGGTGCCTATTATTCACGTTAAATTATTAATAAAGTCTTACTATACTTTTTTATACTAAAATGTACCAATTTTTTAGCAATTTAAATTAACATTAAGTGATATATTATGTAACTGAAAAATGTATGTTATTAATTGTGTTGGTTTGATTTTCAATGGTTATATATTTATTAGGTTTCCATCATTGTTATAATATGGGCATAATTTATTTGGGCGGATGACCCAAAATGTATTTGATTTGAGCACCCACTGGTTAATTTATATTTAAGACGATGTCAGCACACTATTTGTCTTGTCCCTCAGACCTACGCACAATGTAGACAATTTTTGATCAACAGAACCAATTTTTTGCTATTACCTTTAACACTAGTGTGGATTATTATTGACCTACTGTCGAACTTGAATTTAAGTTCAGTTATTTGTATTTGTACGTTATTATATTTGGCATTTTTAAGATACATTTTAACTGTTAATTTTTGGCTCATTTTATCAACATTACAACATTTGTATGAATTTTTCTAAGAAATATTTTTTACCATAAGAAAGTATCAGTTAAAACTGACAATCATAAGTTTAGTTAGTTCGGGCCGTTCTTACAATGTCGGGTTAAATTAACGGACACTTACAGTGCGGAATTCCACCTGTTATAAAATCTATTACCGGTCGGTTTGCGTTAACTGACCCTCTAACCGGACATTGTATGGACATCTTAGAGTCCTAAACATCTAAAAATTGAAAATGTATTAAATACGTTATTAGTTAAGCATATAAGCATAGTATTATATATTTCAGCCAAACGACATAATATTATAATAACATATTATATACTCTCCCAAATGACGTATCACCCAAATGACATTTGTTTTTAATAGATTTGCCCAAATTAATGTGGCCCTATTATAGCAATGGTTGTTTTTGAAAATTTGTATGGGACATGGCATGTTTCTTAAAAACATATGGTCTGACGGTTTTCCATCTGAGAACATGCCACACAGTGATAAGCTAGGTGCATACCATTTAATCCTTGAAAGGAATTTGTGTACTCTGCCTACTATGTTCCATAAATGTATTTTCACAGATGACATTATGTAAAACCAATACAGTTTATATTGTAAAGTAGTATATTATTATATATAATAGTAGAGGTTTAATACAACCGTTTTTTAGTAGTTATTTGTTCATAATATATTATTTTATTGACACCGCTCAAATTCGACAATGGTTTTATAATTATGAGAACAATTTCATCACATTTACAGACGATAGAATAATAAACGTTCTTTGTGTATTGAATGATAATTGAAAATATAACAAAATATTTTTTGCTTTAACCAAAATAGTTATTTTAAATAATAATTTGAAGATCTACAATGAACAAAAAATAATTTTTTTCATTTAAGACAAACAGTGTATTAACTGCCTACTTTCTTAAATGATGGCTCTAGAATTACGTTGCCCATAAAATAACAATTACTATAGCATAACTTTTACGTTGAAATATTTTTAGATATATTATACTATTCAATGAACTCATTCAAGCTATGTTGTTTTTAGCCAATAATTAAAAGTATTTACAATTTTCATACCAGCAGTATTTCATTATATAGTAGTTTTAGTTTTGATTTATACACATTTTGACGTTTTTCTCGCATTGTTCAATACAAGTCTAATTATTTTTTACAGTATCATAAAATATACTACCTACTTTTAAGTTAAATATTATTTGATATAATTAACATCAGAGTGAAATATATCCAAAAAATATAAATAATAACAATAACTACTAAATACTTAAATATCATTAAATGGTCAGTTATGTATTATTAATTATTATATTGAGTAACATGTGCGTAACGATATCTCGTAATTATACCAAAATGAATTCAATTTGAATATGTTGTCCACGTAAAGATTTACTAAAACAGTATCCATCGGGGGTTTTTTTTTTTGAAATAGACAATAATGCAAATTTTCACTTTTAAACTACCGAACAAATGTGTATGTTATAATTTTAGATAAATATACATTAGTAGTCTGCAAATTATACTTTGCTATAATACATGGCTATCTTTTAATTACTGAGTTATAAACACATTCCTATCTATTTCGTAAAAATGTGTTCAAAGCTTAAATATTATATAATTGTACTTCACATTGATGAATATAAAATTCTGTATTTTTTTTTTTTTGTATGTTTGATGTATTTAGATAAATAAAAAAAAATGATCATATCGTTCTACAGTTGATATAAACACATTTAGACATTAATTAAATGTAAAATTATTATTATAATTGTAATGTTTTGTTTTTATATATATGGAATGGTACTTTGTATTATGTTACCATACAATTTGTTATAGGTAACGGTTTAGACCCATAATATATATTTTTGTTTTAACTTAATTGATTACATTTCTGTATATCCTTTCATAATATTACGAAGTTACAATGTAAAATGTATTATTATTCTGATTTGTGTATTCTCTTACTGGTTGTTACCCACTACAATTTAGTATATTTAGTCATTTATAATATATTTATAATATAATATGTGTATAAAACAACTGTTTGTAAAAAAAAATATATATATATATAATATTCAGAAACGTGTATGAAATTATTATTTTGTGTTATGTGAGTCATCCAATCAAATATGTTTATAGTTTAAACTATGAAGTCGATGCATTTGTCGATATTTGTTCAGGTTTAACTAAGTCAGTATTCGATTCAAGTATACAACAGCATTACAGAAGCCTCAAAAGAGTCTAAAGAAAAATAAGACTTCCTCCACATTGTCCTCTTTGAGTTACGTTTGTCAGAATTTTGTCGGTAGGTAATACTATCATCAGCTTCGATATATTTTATTCTGTTGAACTGTTAATTTATTATGAAACAAAATTACATTACATTTTAAAAAAGAAGTCAGTTTGTGATAGGACCACATCCTACATGAGTCTATTGTATATTTGTATACTCCGAATCCCGATTGCATTTTAACCATAAAATTATAATTGGTAAAGTGAAAATGGTATTCATTTGAGACTAGAATATAATTATCCTGAATTTTCGAAAAGAGTACTGATCAAAGTCCTGTTGGTAATTTTAATTGTATCTGACTGTTTAAGTGAGTCTACTCAATGGGTAGTGAAAAATTTAGCTGGAGATGTTGAAACCGAATGGCTATGACGATTAAAGTGATTGTTGTGAAGTCAAATAAATAACTACAAAATGTACATAAAATAATTATTGTATAATATTCTCATAGATTTTTTAAATATTTACTTGTTAAAGAGAGACGTGTGTGACGAGTGTGACCATCGGTGTAGCGTATTAATACTCAACTTTCGTTCATTCAAAGTCGTATTTGTGATCACTTCCCTCCCCACCCCCACCCAAATCACCCAACCAACACCTAGACGGCATCCAACCCAACCTGGATCAAACAGACTAATCACACATGCAACATACACAGGGGAAATAAATGAAAAATCGACGTTTGAGAAACGTCTTCCATTCGAATTTGTCTGATTGAAGTTTTGGACTACACTTCATATTACAAAGCTTAATGCCTCTGCCACAATACTCACAGTAGAGCACACGTTTCGCAAGGTTTTCGAATTTTTCACGGTTCTGAAATTTATCGTGGCTTTCAAGTTTCTCAT